ACACGCACCCGCGGCGTGTGCACGTTCTGCACGAAGCCGTCCTGGGGGCAAAGGGCCAACAGGGTGACTGTGCGGCAGGCGGGCGACCCCGAGGGTAGCGGGGCCGGGGGGGGGCGCGGGCTGGGGCAGGAGGGGGAGAGGAGAGCAGGCAGGGCAGGGGCGCAGCCGGACCCTACCCGAAGCTCCGGCTCCTCGAAGTAGTGCAGCGACAGGGTCTTCAGGTCATGGGTGCCTGGGTCGTACTCTACCACCGAAAGCTGGGGACAGCAGGTCAGACCCGTGGCCTGCCCACCGCAGCCCTGCCCAGCTGGCCGCCCACTGCCCGCCGCCCGCCGCCGGGCCCCGGACCCCCGCCAAGCCCACCGCCCACCTTGGCATCCTTGAAGCTCAGCAGCAGGGCGTCCCGCTTGGCGCCTGCCAGCTGCACGCTGGCCATGGACATGACGTTGCCGAAGAAGGAGAAGGAAGCCACCAGCTCCAGCTTTTCCCGGTGCTCCCTGTGGGCCTTCCCCTCTGGGGCAGGAGGCGGGCACAGGTCGGGATCTCCTGCCCCCGCTGCCCGCCCCACCCCGCACACAGCCAGGGCGGCCTCTCGTGCTCTCACCTGTGCTCCTGTCGTTCTTGGTCGGTGCCTGGGGGGGGCAGGGGAGAGACACGCTGCGGCCACGGATGGCTCCCTCGTGGAGGGACAAGGGGAAAAACGGCCCAGGGCTGGCCCTGCCCCCAGCCGCCCCAACCAAACTCTCAGGGGAGCCCTGTGTCTCTTCTGGAGAGGCCACGTGCACCCCTGCCACGTGCTCAAAGTCGCACTCAACCCGGGGCCCCGACCTGGCCGCGGGTTTCTCCTGGGGAGCCCGCCCGGCCCAAGCTGGGCGCACGCAGCGGCGGAGGCTGGGCAGCGCCCTGTGCACCCGAAGCTGCCTGGCTCCACCCCCACAGACGTGACACACGGGACCACAGAACAAAGGCCACGGGCACGCACCGGGCCGGGGCAAGACCAGCGCTCCCTCATTTGGGGCGAGAGCACCAGTTTTGTGCCATAAACCGAGAAGGCCTGTGGTCATCTAACGTAGCTAGTAAGAAAAATGACACAAAACACAACTAAGAGCCAACAGAGAAGATAAAATAAAATGAAAACCCCTGATTAATCCAGAACAAAGCTGCGAAGAAGAAACCAGGAAGAAATAAAGGAACAAGCAGAGAGACAGAGTAAGACCGTCACTCAGACTGGATTACACAAGAGTCACGTCCTGTGTAGACAGACATTCCAGTGAGAAGACCGAAGCCACCAGAATAACGAACAACCAACTCAGATTTTAAAAAGACATCCCGTACAATGACTTAAAATAAAGAAAGCCGGGGCAGCCACGTTACTACTGGGCAAAATGGATCTTGAGACAAGAAGCGCTAGCAATGAAAAGCGACATTCCACGACGAAAAGGTCAGTTCAAAACTAAAACACATTTTGAAAACAGTAAACCAGTATTCTATGTTTGTCTTAAATGTACCTAATAACGCGGCTTTGAAATGAAGACACACACACACAATCCTTGAAAATCCAGCCAGGCACGTGGCCCACCTTGTTTGTGTTTAAAAGGACCTTGCATGTACTTAATTTTTGGCTCTTTCATGTAAACTTGAGAATCGGATTACTAATCTAGTGAAGAACCTTACTGCGACTTTGAGACAAAGAACAGCAAATTTATGATTTAATCTGGGAACAGCTGAAACCTCTGTGATGAGACTTCCCATTTGCAACCATGATGTATTTTCTGTTTACTTGGGACTTTTACTAATTTCAGTTCAGTGCTATATGGGCTTCTGTCCCTTAGGGGCCTTTCGTGTGGCTGGTTGTCACACTACACCTGCCCCTGGCAACGCCCCCACCCCCGCCCCGCACGGCTGCTCCGTCCTCTGTCCCACCTCCGAGCAGAGGCCAGGCGACCCACGGGCCAGCCTGCGCCCCATCCAGACTCCTGGCCCGCAGACGTGCACGACCACGGCAACAGAGGTGGTCTGAAGCCTCAGGACAGGCTGTCCCGATCCACGGCTGACTGGTCCCAAACCCTCTCGCCCACTCAAAGCCCCTGTCCAGCTCCCGCTCTGCCTCTCTTCGGGCCCCCACACCTCACTCTCTGGTGTGAGAGGTGGCAAACTTCCTTGGAAAGGACCAGAGAGCAAATACCTGACTTAGCTTTGCAATCACATCTAGTCTGTTGAGGATTCTCCTTTGGAACTTTTCACAATTCTTTAAGGACGTAAAAAGCTCCCTTAGGGCGTGGTGGGCTGTGGCCCCCAAACCCGGCACCCACGGCTCGCTCCCTCCATGCACAAGCCTGCTGCTGTCTGCTCACTTTTGAAAAGAACCTTGTCCTGCCAGTTCCTGCTCCATCCCTTCCTTCCCTGTGCACAAATCCCCTTCCGAGGGCTGCCCGAGCGCCCTGGACCAACTCTTCCCTCCGCTCTCCATCCCAGTCCAGCTTTGCACGCCCTCCCCGCCCTCACCGGTCTGGGCTTCCGCACGGGCGTTCCTATTGCCTGGGGCATCCTCCACCGCCCCCCCTGAGCCTGGCTACGCCTTGCTCCTCCCTTCAAGAACATATAAGCTGCCGCCTCCTGCAAGAAGCCTTCCTGGACCAGCGCTCAACCTCCAGCAACAAAAGCACCCTTCGATTTCCTCTATTGATGAGCTCATTGCACTTCACTAAAATTGCGCCCAACAGGCTGTCATCCTAACTCCAGCCCGTTCCCTTTGCCACAATGTTCTCTCCCGACAATTTCCTGGCACTGCCTCCTTCATGACCTGTTTCCTCCGTGGCACTTGCTGAAATCTACAAGTGTGCTGAAAGGTGTGTCCTTATGTAAAGGAAGTCCCCCCAGCCCGTTTTTTTCCGATTTTGTTCACCACGGTATCCCTACTATCTAGCCCACAGCAGGTATTCCTACGTTTAATTTGCTAGGAAAACAAAAGAGCAAATAGGATGCACGAGGGCAGGGCGCATGCCCACAGCTGCAGAGAGGCGCCGGGGCGCCGGGGGCACGTCCCGCTCGCGCGCCGCAGACCGGCCGGCTTCCGGCTCTGCACCTGGGCACCCGCCTCCGCGAGCGGCGGCAGACGGCGCGGCGCAGGCCTACCTCGGCGTCGCGGTTCAGGCGGTACACGTAGAGCTGCGAGGTCCCGGCCACCACGAGGTTGCGCTCGCTGTTGTTGAAGAAGTTGCAGTACATGGAGAACTCGAGCCCGGTGGGCGGGTGCGCCTGCTTGTACACGGCGTACATGGCGCCGAGCCCGGGCTGCGCGGAACCGAAGGCGACAGACTGTGCGGGTCGCCGGCGACCGCCGCCCGCCTGGCCGTTGGAGCCGGCTCGCGGGGGACAGGGACGGCAGTGAACGCGGTCCGGCCGGGCCCGGAAACTGAGCGTGGAGGTTCCGGGTTCGTGAGCCTGCGCAGTGGCGCCTCGGTGGAGCGGCCGCGAGGGCGACAGTGGCCCCTGGTGGCCGCGAGCAGCCGGAAAGCCTCGCGGCTCCGCGTCTAGAGCTCCGAGTTCCCGAGCTCGCCCGCATTCCCGGATCCCGCTGAGGGGGAGCGCGGCCGCAGGGTGGAAGCGCGGCGGGGCCGCGACGGCTCGGGGCCGGCTGGGTCCCCTGCCTGACGCAGGATGGGGTCAGCGCGCAGCCGCTCCCCGCAGGCAGAGGCGCGTGCGGTACGAGATGTCGTGCCAGAAGCTGGCCCCTGGGTGAGCGAGGCGAGCCTCGTCCTTGTGGAGCCGGGGAGGCAGGCCCGCTGCGGCCGGTGCCCCGGTGTGGAGGCGGCCCCACCAGCCCCGGGCTGGGAAAGCTTTCTGGGTACATCCCGCGTCCCGCCTCTGCTCTGCATCCCCTCTGCAGGGCGACCCCACCACCATCGCCACCAAAGCCTGGGCGCTGAAGGCGACCAGTCCCTGGCACCTGGGGCCACATGCTTGCCAGTCACCCCTCCCCCGCACCCCTCCACGTGAACCCCTCTCCTGAGCGCAGCCATTCTGTCCTGATCTTGCTTGCGCCCCAGGCCTGGGACCGTCGCCCACTTCCAGGATCCCAGGGCCAGGAGCTCGCACAGCGAAGACCTCCTCTCCCTTGGTAGGGAGTAGCCCCAGATACACGGGAACGGGCCTGGGCCGTAGAAACAGAATCACAAAAAAAACCCAGCGAGGACAGTGACACCTGAGAAAGTGGCATATAAGTGTGTGTGTGTTGCATGCAAGGCGGGCCACGTGCTCAGGCCAGCAACAAGGCTCGAGTCTGGACCGTGGAGCAGTGCGCAAAGGGGCCACTTGGATGTCCAGGCAGGTGTGGGTGTCCCCTGAGCCACGCGGGGCCCCTTCAGAAGTCCTAGGTCCTGAAGCCGGGACTGTGCGGAGGCTGGAGGAGGCAGCAAAAGCCTGCTGAGAACACTGACCCTCAGCATCCACGTCACGTGGACGGTCACGGCACCCCCATCACAGGGCACCAGTGAAAACGGAGTGCGTCCACGGGACTGTCAGACGGGAGGCTGGCACCCGGGAAGAGCCCTGACAAGTGGCGAGACCGCGTCCGTAGGGCGGCGGCAGGGGGGCTGGAGGCCCCAGGGCTGGCAGGGGCACGGCCGAGGGGGCCCGCCTGGGGGATCCCCTGCCTCCACCAGCGGAGGAAGGGCGATGGGCTGGGGAAGGCCCGAGGCTGGGGCGCGGCTGCCTGGAAGCCCCTCCGCGGAGCTCTGTTGGCTCCTCACGAGGGCCCCAGGCACGGCTGCGCTCCGCAGCCTTTCTTGGTGGGAGAACCTTCCCTCCCAGCAGGAAGAGCAGGCTGGGCGACCCAGGCAGGGATGTCTTTATTGAAGCAGAGCTGCTGGGGCCTGGGGGAGGGAGAGCCTCAGAGGCCCGGGCACTCCGGGTGCCCGGCTGTTGGTTCGGGTCCAAGGGGCTGGCCGAGCCGGCGCAGGCAGGGGTCCGACTCGGGGCCCAAGAATGGGATGGAGGCGTCAGAAGGTGAAGCTGTCCTCATACAGGGACAGCAGGAGCAGGATCGCCCAGCCGCCCAGCAGGCCCACGTTGTGCAGCAGGAAGAGCAGCCAGGGCCGGCGGTCCCGCACGCGCAGCATGGCCGGGAGCTGAGGAGGCGGCGTCGGTCAGAGGTCAGCCCGGCGCTCAGCGCCCCACCGGGGCGGCCCCTCCGCGCCCTCGCCCTCACCATGTCGCAGAGCGCCACGTAGAGGAAGAGGCCGATGGCTACCGCCAGGATCCAGGACTCGCTCTCCTCGCCGACACCGGCCGCGAGCGCGACGTAGAGGCCAGAGAAGGCCGTGAGCGCCGAGGCCAAGTTCAGGAGCAGCGCCCGCGGCACCGACAGACCGGCGTGCAGCAGGGCCGCGAAGTCCCCTAGGGCGGCGCAGCGGGTCAGGCGGAGAGCGCGTCCCGACAGGCCCCGCCCCCTCCCGACAGCCGCTCCCGACGGGCTCCGCCCTGCACGCCGCGCGCTGGAGGGCGGCCGGCGGCGCGTGGCTCACCCAGCTCGTGTGGCACCTCGTGGCAGAACACCGCCAGCGACGTGGCCAGCCCAGTCTTCCAGGAGGAGGCGAAGGCGGCGCCCAAGGCCAGCCCGTCCGCGAAGTTGTGCAGGCCGTCGCCCAGAGTGATCATGTAGGGCAGCAGCCTGAGTTCTGCGGGTCCGGTGGGCATGCGCCGACGTCAGCCTGGCCACCTCCAAACCCCTGGCCCCCACCGCCTAGGGCCTCCCCAGGGCTTACCTGGGTTCAGTTTCCGGGGCCCGGGGCTCAGCAGCTCAGGGCTCTCCTCCGCCACCTGGGGGGACCCAGCGGCCCAGATGAATGAGCCCCTGGAGAGGCAGGCGGGGCCGGGGCCCCAGACCAGCCCCAGCGGCCAGGGGCAGGGGCCCTGCTGTGGGAGCTGGGGGTGCAGGTACTAGAAGGGGCCGTGCAAGGGGACCGTGCGGGGGGACGCCTGGGGGGGTGCTCACCAGGTCTGCGCGGGAGCTGTCCTGGGGCCGCTTGGGCGGCCGGAGCTCCCTGGGCGCCAGCTGCAGGGATGTGCCGTGGCTGTGGCCGCTGTGGCCAGCGTGGCTGCAAGGCTCGTCCTTCGGGGCCTAGCGGGCGACAGCTCAGGGCCTGCCACACCCCCTCCCCACGCCCCACCCTGCCAGGCCCTGCAAGCCTGACCTCTGGGTCCAGGGGCAGCAAGAGGTCGCAGAGTTTCTCGAACAGAAAGAAGGTGTAGAGGCCTCCTATTGCGACCAGGAGGCGCCAGGTGGGCTGTGGGCCTCGGTCGTCCGTGCTGTGCTGGTGCAGCCCCAGGACCTGGGGGGCGGGGAGGGGGTGCTGGGCGGGCTGCCTCAGGGCCCCTCCCACAGATGAAAAAGCAGGGCTGGGGCTTGGGGAAGGGCCCCAGGAGAGCGGGCGGGGGGAGGGGGAGGAGGGCCAGGCCGCCCAGGAGTCCCTGGGGTGGGGCCGACCTTCGGGGTCAAGTGCAGGAGGGCGTCCCCGGTGAGCGCGCCCACGGCCAGGCCCAGGAAGGTCTGGGTGACGTAGTGGGCGGCCGCGCTGCAGCCGACGCAGACGAGCAGCAGGAGGCCGAGGACAGAGCAGAGGCAGATGAGCAGCGTGGCCAGGGAGCCGTACAGGTACCCTGGGGCGCGGAGGGGGCAACGGGCCGGCTGAGAGCCTCCCCTCCGCCTTCGGAGCGGAGGCCGGGAGGGTCCGGACGGGAGCAGGGGCTCGGCAGGGCTGCGGGCGCCCCGGTGCTGGCCAGGCCTCTGCTCACCCTCCGAGCTCCCTCCTCCTCCGTCCAGGCCGCCCCCGCATTGCCCGCCTCCCCCCGCCAGCCCAGCACCCACACCTCCGCCCTGGGAAGCCCCACCGCCCTGGGCTGGCGCCCCGGGCACAGAGACAGGCACTCACTCTGCGCCTGGCTGAGCTGGTCCTGGGTGGGGCCGCTGGGCTGGAGGCTGCAGGCCCCACTCAGCTGCTGCTGGAGCAGGGCCGGGCTCAGCCGGGCCCAGGCGTCCGGGGCCACCCCTGTCTGCTCCGACAGCCCGTACACGGCCATCACGTCCCTGGCACTCAGGCACACCTGGGAGGGGGCAGGGCCCGGCGGCAGGGCCCGGCGTCAGGGACCGACAGGCCCACAGGCCCCGCCTCTCCCCCCGGCACCGGGCTGCTCACCGCGTCCCACGCGCTGGGGCCGCTGCTGGGAGCGGCCAGGTCGGCCCTCTTTTCCAGAGGGGGGTGGCGATGACCGTCGCTGTGGTCCCCGTGGGGCTCGGCCGCGCCGCCCACCCCCAGGTGCTGCATCAAGGCCGCCAGCTCTGGCAGAAGGGACAGAACCGCCGTCTGTGTGGGCCTGGCCCGGCCGGCCCCGGGCACCTGCCCTGCTCCGCGGCCGGCCCAGGCCCTACCATCCAGTGTGATGTTGGGGGCATCGCCGTGGTGCTGCCGGAAGACGAAGTCCACAAAGTACTGGGGGGTCGGCAGGGCGTGGAAGCAGGACCCCTTTCTGACGTGGTCCAGCAGGGCAGCCAGCACGAAGCCAGGGCTGCCGGGAGCCCCCGCCCCCGCCGCCTCGTCCAGCAGCTGAGGCACGTCCACACAGGCCTGCGGGGAGCCCGGCCTCAGCTTCGCCCCCCGTGTGGTCCCCTGGCCTCCAGCGCTGCCATCACCCCAGCGGCCCCCCAGACTGGCCGTGAGCCCGGGACGGAGCCCAGAGTGGCTGCCTCGGAGCCCCGCCCCTTCCTGCTCACCTAAGAGCTGCGCTGGGCCCCGCCCCTCCTTGGGACCGCAGGCCTTCTGCCGCCGGGCAGCCGGTCCCGGCTGCCACCCCCGGGCTACTCCCTGGGGCCCCAGCCGCCTCCCGGCCGTCTCCCCGTGAGGGAATGACGGTGCACCTCCAGGGGCTTCTGAAGCCCCGGCGCAGCCTGGTGCTGAACATACGTTGTGACCACCCCCCAGCCAAGCCCGCCCTCCTGAGTGTGTCCCTAGACCCCCCCCAGATACGTAGCAAGGATTAGTGGACCGTTCTACCCAGCACAGCCAGGAGCAACCGCCTGAATGGGTCCCCCTCCAGTCCCCGTCCTCGTGCCTCTTCCACCCCGTCCGGCCTGCCTGGGCCCTCACCTCCTCTGCGGGGGGCTGGCTGGCGGTCTGACCCTGAATCCTCTGCAGCAGCCGGCTCAGGCCTGGGGTCAGGGCCCCGGGGCCCTCGAGCAGGGCCAGGAGGTGGTCAGCCTGGGAGGCCCAGCGGCCAGCCCGCACATCCTCACACGTGCCTTCGGGGTCGCTGAGGTAGAGGGCGGCAGCCGCACTGAGGCGGGCGATGTGTGGGGGCTCCAGCCCCGGCCCCTCAGGCGGGCCCAGGGCCAGGAGGGCTTCCACAGACAGGCACTGCGGGTGCAGGCAGGTGAGTGGGGCCCGGGTCCCCCATCAGCAGCTCCCTCACGCTCCCCTTGATTACGAGGCTGCACGCACACACAGGTCCCAGGCAGTGGGCCCCCCTTTCAGAGGGCTTCTCCCTGGATGCACTGCCTGGGGGCCGATGGGTGAGGGGGCCTGGGATCCTGGAGCTGTGGGTCCCCACTGTGGCACCCCCACCCCGGGGAGGAGAGTGGGCTAGGGCTACAGGCCAGGCCATGGGACTAGGCCACTTGGCCTCTGCCCGCCCCTGGAGTTTGCCCAGCCCTCGGGGTGGGGCAGGGAGGGCTGGGCCCCACGGGAGACCCATCGGGTGGGGCACTTACCTTTCCACACGGCCCTGAGGTGCAGTGCACACGGGCCGCCAGTGTATTTAACAGGCTGCCCAGGGCCACGCGGTCCAGAACACCCTGGCCCGAAGACAGCAGAGTCAGCAGGTGAGCAGGCTGGGCCGCCGTCGCGGTCACCGCCAGCACCGCCAGCAGCAGCCCGGGCTCCCGCCAGGCCGCGCCCGCCATGCCCAGGCCGCGGGCGCTCGGTGCTCTGGAGGAGGCCGCACAGGGCAGGCTGCGGGCAGAGAGGGCTGCTGGGCCCAGACTGGGGCCAGGGGTAGGATCTCTCCCAGGTATTTCCTTCAGGGCTCTGTGATTGGCTGTCGGCGCAGTTGCAGGTTAACCATTCCAGGGGCAGGTCCTCCCTGAAACCAGCGGCCCTGCCCGCGGGCTGAGAGCCGCTGGGGCCAGTGTCTGGCGGGGCCAGGACCTCTCCCAGGCACTTCCTGCTGGGCTGCACGGTTGTCTGACGGGAGGCACCGCGGTGCAGCATTCCAGCCGCAGACCTTCTCCAAAGCCAGGAGCTCTGCCTGTCGCGGGGAGGGCTCGGCCCCCTTCCCTGGGCTGGGCAGCCCCCTGCCTGCCTGCTGCTCCCACAGCCCTGGGGCAGAGCTGCACGGTGCCACCCCGGTCCTCAGTGGGCCCATCCCCGACATTCCCCCAAGGGCCCCCTTCACCCCTTCCCAGAGACCCCCGGGGCCTTGGACCTCTCCTCCCGGGCCCTGGGCGGGGGTCTCCCTTTCGGGCCTGGTGGCCTGAAGTCTGCGGAACCACCAACCTGTTGGCGAGTCACGCCCCCGCCCCCAGACCCTCCTGGGAAAATTCCTCACTGGGAGCCCGGGTTGTCCCCTGGTGGCACCTGGGGAGGGGCTCTTGGGTGTGACTCCCTGCCCCACCCCTCCCCCCAGTGTCCTGCCCCAGGCCTTTGACCCCCTCCCCACCTTATCTCGGCCGCCTCTCTGCCGAGCTGGCGTCTGGGGGAGGGGCAGCCTTGCCCTCTGGACGGAGCCTCCGGGCGGCCCCTGACCCCTGACCCTAGCCCTGTGGCGTGTGCTCGGGGTGGGGCAGAAGCTCCAGGGCAACCGGGACCCCGGCCCGAGGGCTCTGTCGCGTCCGGCGTCGCCCAGAGCAGGGCTGCTGGCCAGGACAGCGTCCCGGTGGGGCAGTGCTTCTGCCGCCCACCTCACCCACACCCAAAGGCGGGACGGCACCACTGGGCGACGTCTGGGGAGGGGGCCGGGGAGGGGCCAGAAAGAGCCTGGCAGGGTTCAGATGGTTCCTGGGCACCTGGGTCAACGAGGAGGGAAGCTGGGTGCAGGCTCCGTTCACCCAGTTCTGCAGGCTGAGCCCAAACCGGCCTCTGTCCATCCCCTGCCCGCCTTGTGCTGGGCAGCCTGGAGCCCCGGGGCCAGGCTGCCCCTCCGGCCACCCCGCTACCTCAAGGGCCTATTAGCTTCCAAGCAAGGCCTCAGCCCGGCCTGCCCTCCCAGCCCGAGCCCTGGAGGCGCGGCCGGGGCAGCTCCCCGGGCCTCGGGGCTAGTCCTCCTGCCGCCGCCTCGGCCCCGCCTCCGCCCCCGGCCCCGCCTCCGCCCCCGGCCCCGCCTCCGCCCCCGGCCCCGCCAGCGTCGCCCTGTCGTCCAGGGAGTCCCGCGGGCACTCCCGTCTTCAGACACACCCGTGGCCGCAGCAGGCGGAACGTGGACAGGCCAGGCGTCCCCGACGGAGGGATGGGTGACTGCAGTGTCACTGCGCAGGCCCTGCGACCCTGGTCGGCCTTCAAAGGGAGGGTTTCTGGCCTGTTAGGCGGAGTGAAGGAAGCTGCCCCCGCCCCTCCCCACAGGCTCCCGCAGAGACCCTTGACCCCGGCCTTATCTCTGCTTAGCTGGCACCCGGGGGAAGGGGCAGGCCCCAGGACCAGCCGACGCCCCCGCCAGGTTTCTGCTCAGCTCTGCCTTCCGGAGGGCGCCGCCCACTTGGTTCAATGACCCCTAGGCCCCTGGCCCTGGGCCCTGCAGGTGTGCGGATGGGGCAGGGCAGAAGCTCCACAGGAGCAGAGGCCGGGTCCAGGGACTCCGACCTTAGCGCCTGGTGGCACCCGGGGCAGGGCATCAGGTGAAGGGCCGCGTCCTGCGTCTGGGGTCCTTCCTGCTGCCCACCTCACCCACCTGCGGAACGGGTCTGTCCAGCCCTGGCCGGTGCGGCTCCGCTGGGGTGGCTCCCCACGACGAGGAGGCTGTGGGTTCCGTTCCCGGCAGGGCGGGCAGGGCGTGTACAGGAGGCGGCCACGGAGGCGTCTCTCGCATCGCGTTAACCCCTCTCCCCCGCTTTCTCTGAGAGCAGTGAACAATGTCCTTGGGTGAGGATCGAAACACAAATTTTTAAGTGGTCTTGATGGGGGACTCAAATGTTGGAAAAGTTTTAGTTTCAGGTAATCACCAATACGCTAGCAATCAATGTGTGTAAAAAGTGATCGAGGTGCTGAAGGCGAGGCCTCCCCACCCCCCGACTCCGGGGCCGAAAGCGACAGAGACGGTGCCTGCACCTCTGCGCTCCAGGGGGACAAGCCCACCGCCCGGGGCGCTGAGGGAAGGGCACTGCGGCTTCTATCTGGTTAACTTTTTCCCCTGAATTCCAAACCCCTTACCTACACTTTTCTTCTCCTTGTAAAAAGGGTCGGTTTAGCCTCCGCTAGTGCGGCTCAGTGGACCGAGCGCCGGCCTGCGAACCAGAGGGTCGCTGGTTTGATTCCCAGTCGGGGCGCAGGCCTGGGTTGGGGGCCAGGTCCCCGTTGGGGGCGTGTGAGAGGCAACCGCACATGGATGTTTCTCTCCCTCTCTTTTCCCTCCCTTTTCTTCTCTAAAAATAAATAAAGTCTTAAAAAAAAAAAAAGTGTCGATTTAAAGTGGAATTTAAGACAGTCTGTTAGGGTTCAGACCCGCAGTCTCCCCAGATCGCCAGCCGTCTGAATAAGGCACCCACACAGGCCCGGTCCCTGCCCCTCCTTATCGGGTCTGGTAGTGACCGGCAGCACAGATGCCGGCTTTTCCGGTCCCATGTTCTGGTGACTCCGTGACAGGACGAACTTTGGGACTGTCTTTGGAAGTCTGGGTGTTGGGTGGGGAGCCCCGCTGGCTGCCTCGCCTGGGGGACCCGGGGGTGCAGATTTGGAGATTCTCTAGCAGCTGCCAAGTGATTTCACGTGGGGACCCTCGGTGCGTCCTGGCGTCTTCACACCTGCGAGTCATTGTGCTCCCGGTTCAGGTCACAGCCCCCGGTCAGGTTGTCACTGACGGAGGTTCCGTCTGGTTTACGGAGCTCTGCCTGGTCACAAGGTGTCTCCTGGTTTAATTAAGGTGCCTCCGGGTTTTTGTGATATGACAGAGCTCTGTCCGGGAGAATGCGGGGCAAGGCCTACGTTGCAGGAGACAGCCCTTTGGGGCAAGTTTCAGCTGATTGGCGGACCTACGCTGACAAACCTATGACTAAAAAGAAAGTGGTTTTTATTGTGATGCTGTTTGGCTTTTGCATTGTGTCATCTAGACCCAGGAGAGCGCTGGCCGCCGAGTGGGCCTTTCGGTTGCTGTATGGAACTGTAGCTAGAGTCGTTTTCTTGCAGGTGAGGTCGCACAGTCAGGAGGCGGGACGGAAAGGGGGTCGGGGGAAGGGGGACCGGGCTGCGCTGACACAAGGCCACGCGGGGACCGTGCTGACGTGTGTTCTAGCGGGACCCTCCGACAGGACCACCCTGCAGAAGAGGCGGGCGGGGCTGTCTGTGCCGAGGGGAGCAGGTAGGTGGACGAAGGACGCAGGAAGGCGGGGCGTGCAGGTGCGCCTCCTGACGGAGAAGCGGAGGCCAAGGCCCTGCCGCCGGAACCTCTGCCCTGAAAGCGGAGCTGATTGCATTGACGAGGGCACTGGAATTGTCGCGTGAAAAGGGGGTGCATGGGCCCCAGCTGCTGTGGCTCAGTGGACTGAGTGCCCACAGACCAGAAGGTCGCTGGTTCAATTCCCAGGCAGGGCACAGGCTTGGGTTGTGGGCCAGGTCCCCAGTGGGGAGTACATGAGAGGCAGCCACACATGGATGTTTCTCTCCCTCTCTCCCTCCTTCCCTTACCCTCCCTCTAAAAATAAATAAAATCTTACAAAAGAAAAGAAAAGACAGTGAATGTGTGTTTCACTCACTCAAGGTATGCTTTCCTAATTTTACGGTCACATGGTTCCATCTGGAAGGACAAAGAACGGTTAACCTCCAAAAAAAGGAGATGCAGGACGCAGCAGGAATTGTAACATTATTAGACGCTGTTCGGGTACCTTTGCTGGTGGCAGTGACGGACGCTCTGCCCGGGGCGTCAGAAGGGGGACACTGAGTGACCGAGGAAGCAGCCTGGCTGCCCGAGCAGCAGAAGAGGCTGCTAAAGGGACGTCTGTAGTGCCTTTGGTCCCTGTTCTAGGCTTGTCAGTGTGACCCTGGATATTGGACGCAGACTCAGAGAAAGCTGAGAGCTGGGCTTCGATGGAGAAGGAGCTGACAGCGGGCGGAGAAAGAGTAAGGAAGGAGCCGCACTGCTCCCCGAACACGCAGCGGAGCCAGGCATGGCGCGCGGGCGCGAGGCCACTTGCTGCGGAAGGGGCTCACGGACTGCACGTGTTGGACCGCGTCTCGTAGCGCCTGGACTTCCTAAAGCCACGTGCAAAGTCATGCTGGGAGTGTTGCACAGCAGAAGAACAGCCCCTAGACAGACCCCCTCAGAAGAACGAAGGGAAACACCACCAAGGACAGCGCCCGTTTGAGGCATCACCCAGAGGCCAAGGGTCCGAGGGCGGAAGTATTTGCTAGTCTTTGCCGACACCTTTTCAGGAGGCGGGGAAGCCTGTCCGACCGGAATGGGGACATCCTCCGGGCAGTGGAAGCCCTACTGCAGGGGAGAGTCCCTCGCTCTGGCCTCCCTGGCAGCAGCCGGAGCAGTGATGGGCCTGTTTTTGTTTTGGAAATCACACAGGTTCGTAAAATTTTAGGAATCAAGCGGAGCCTCCACACGGCACGGAGGCCTCGGGCTTCCGGGAAGCTGAGAGGACGCGTCACGTCCTGAAGAGAAGCGGAGCCGAGCGGGGCCAGGCCGTGCCTCGGGCCCTGCGCGCGGCCAGGGCGGCTCCGCGAAGACGGACTCCGGCGAGTGGGTGGGAGATGAGACCGCAGATCGAGGAGGGAAGGTAAAGAAACATGTGCGGCAGTTAAGTCAGCCCTCAGCTGTGATTACTGACCTTGCTCGTATTGGGACCTCTCCCCCCAGACACGGCTGCATTCCTGAGCCGGGGGATAAGGTGCCACTCGAGACTCGAACCGGCACCTCCGGAGAGCCAGCTAGAGCAGACCCGGACTGAGCCTGGGGACGGCTCCTCAGCGGCCCCCCCGCGGAGAAGCTGCCGGAGAAAACCCTGGGATTCACCACGCCTGAGAAAAACTGGCTGCGTTTAGCAAAAAGGTTCTAAACATCTCTGCATTTTGTCTCACGCTGACCGAACTCGCACTCCAGTCTCGCAGGTGCCTGGGCTCCCCGGAGAGCCTTCGAGATGACACGGTCGCTTCAGCGTGTCCGTAAGAGAACAGCCTCCTCTGATACTCGTAGCTGGGCACCTGCGGGGCCCGCAAAGGACTGAGAAACGTTCTCCTTACAAGTGACTGATGTAGCCCCAGCCGGAGAGTGTCAGCTGTGCTAAAAACTGTTTCCTGCGCTATCGTACCATGTTGTTGCGTACAATGTGCCCCCTTAGGGGGATCTGCAATTAAATGTGTTCCTAAGCCCCCTGCCGGACGGTCTAATGCTAAGATACGTGCTCGACAAAATGAGCACTTCCGTATGAAAGTGCTGTCATAGAAATAAGATGGTTTAAACTAAGTAACAATGGGGAAATGACGGCGGACTCCAAAGTTGGAAAATGTTCGGTTTCAGGTAAAAGCTAGTAAGCTGAGCAATCAGTGCCTGTACAGAGAGAGAGTCTGAGGCGCTGAAGGCGTGGCTCACCCGGACTCCCGGCGTCAGCGGGTCCACCTTTGTGCCCCAGGAGGCCGCAGGCCATCGAGATGGGATCTGAGCCACTGCGCTCGCCCAGAGCACAGGGGAGAGGACGCTGCGGCTTTTACCTCATCAGCTTGTCCCGTAAATTCCAAACCCCTTGCCTACACTTTTCTTCTCCTTATAAAAAGGGTCTGTTTAAAACGGAACTGAGGGTGGCCTGTCGGTCTGTTAGGGCCCAGACCTGCCGTCTCCTCAGGTTGCTGGCCCTCAGCCTCTGATGTCCAGCCGCCCAGACACGAGTCCAGCTCCTCCTGTGCCGACTGGGCTCTGGCCGCCCCGCCACCGAACCCTGTGTCCCGCAGGTGCCCGCGCTTCTCCGGGAAGCCCTGCGCCCGTGCTTCCCCAGCCACCGAGCCGCAGTGCCTCTCGGGGTACTCTCTCCCGGCGGCACACACTGGGCGCCGCTCAGCACAGCCCACGCCCAGCCCCCAACCCCTGACGCGCCCCAACGACCCTCCAGCCAACCCCGGCTCTGCTCTTTGCCTCGCAAAACACAAGTGAGAGCCCTCCTTCCACTGCCTCGAGCCGCCCCAGGAACCACGGGACACCGCGGAGGAGGAGATGCCACAGTGAAAGTCTGGCTTGTCTTATCCGACGCCGCGGTTGCTGAAGGCGCAGCAGCGCAGCCGGGAACCCGGAGCCTCGGCCTCGTTGCGTCGGCCGGGGCTGCCGCCGCTCCCGGCCCGGTGGGGGCCGGACCACCCCCGTGGCTGCCCAGGCAGTGCCCATCACAGAGGCCGCCGCCGCCCCGGAAGGGACACCCGGGCCCTTCCCTGAGGAACTGTGCTCGGAGCCCGTGCGCTCCCGGGCGGCCGGATCCCACCTGAGGCCTGGGTGGGCGCCGCCAGCAGCAGCAAGGTCAGAAAACACCTTTTTCATTAAAAAATTATTTTTAGAGAGAAGGGAAGGAAGAAAGGGAGACATCACTATGTGGCTGCCTCTCGCACACCCCCTCCTGGGGACCTGGCCCACAACCCAGGCGTGTGCCCCGACCGGGAACTGAACTGGTCACCCTTGGGTTCGCAGGCCGCCGCTCAATCCACTGAGCCACACCAGCCGGGGCAGGAAACATCTTTATTATGGGGAAGGGACTCCTGGGTCAAGGCCCTGTGGACAGACAGGCAGGGCTGCTGTGCCGAGTCCCGCGGTCGGAGGGAAGCAGACCACCCTGAGAGGCTGCGGGGCGGGCTGGCGGGATCAGGCGTGGAGGAAGCGGTTGAAGGCGTTGTAGGCCGACTCCAGGTCGAACAGCATCTGGCGCACTTGGGAGTCATCCAGCTCGTCGGAGGCAGACATGCCGCTCAGCGTCTGCAGCCTGGCAGGCAGGGGCACAGGGCTAGAGGGGCGCTCGGGGGCTCCCGGGGCCGCTGGGGGGTCCCACACTCACCACTGGCTGACTGTCTGGCGGCCCTCGAAGTCGGGAGGCAGGTGGCTCATGCGGTGCATGGTCTCCATCAGCTCCCGCAGGTCCGGCTGGATCTGCAGACACAGCGCCGTGAGGCCCCGCCCCCGCCCCGCCCCTCACTGAGCCGCCCCACCCCCACGGCCCCCCAGGGCGCAGGCACCTCGTCCATGGCGCGGATCTCCAGGCGCAGCTTGTCCATCACCGTGATGAAGAGCTAGGGGCAGGCGTGTGTGTGAGGTGGTGCCGTCCTACCTGGCGGGGTGGGGGGTGGGCAAGGGCGGCGCCCTCGCAGGGGCTAACCCGTCTGGCTGTGGGACCTCAGCCTTTCCCTTCTCAGCCTCCCTCCTCCCGCAGGCCCCTCCCACCGCCGGGGGCTCCTCGGCCCTGGCTGCCAGAACCCTGGGCCTTCCCACGGGGTCTCCGCTGGGAGGGGACTCAGGGCTGCCTGGACACTGCCCAGGGGAGCGGCCTGCCCGCCTGTCCCTGTCTGAGCTACAGGCCCTCCCCGCGCAGGAGTCAGCGCTGGGCAGCCAGGACGCCTGGGGCCTTCGCGCACCGCGAGACCACGGCGGGCTCACCGAGACCACGTCGGCGATGCAGCGGTTGAGGTTGCCCTTGTCGTCCTTGATGGTGATGGGCCTGTCCTCCTTGATCCTCTCCATGGCCAGCGGGCAGTCCAGCTGAGGGGCACCGGGGTGTTGGCCGGGCCCCTTCTCAACAGCACCCCCACGGCCCCCCCCCCGCCCCCGCCCCTCAGTGGACTCACGCGGAACTTGCGGCAGAACTCATCAATGGAGCTGATCTCTGAGCCCTGGACCTGCCGGAAGGCGGCTTTGTACTGAACCAGGAGGCGGGAGCAGGCCGCCGTGTACCTACGGAGAGGACCCGCCCCGGGGCTCAGCTTGGGCTCCCGCGGGTCCCCGCAGGAAAAGAGCGCTGGATGAGGGGGTGGGGGGCGGCCAAATTACGGCTGCCCCAGGGCGCCCGGCCTGGACACGGCAGCATGGCCCCAAGCCCAGCACTGGGCAGAGGCCCGGCAGCGCCCTCTACCTGCTCTCCTGGGCTGCGCGGCCCTGGCCACACACCCGCAGCACGTGACCCTCTGGCTGGGCCTGTGGCCCTGAACAAAGGCGCGTGAGCCTGGGCGCGGGGCCTGGCCAGCCGCGCCCGCAGGCCCCCTCCCCGCTCCGCCGCTCGTCTCCTGAGGCCCTCGCGCGAACAGGGACACCTGCACCCAGGGCAGCGGGCTGGTGACTGGGGCCGTGGACGCGCCTCTCCCTGCGGACACTGCAGAAAAGCCAGGACCTCCTGGCTGAGAAGGCGCCCGGGCTGCCGGCACCCGGGGCCCCACACAGACCCCCTGCACTGCTGCCGAGCGCCCAGGCCCCGGAGGGCGGGCACAAGCTTCTGGGGCCAGGCACCCCTCCCTGGGCACGGCGGGCTCTCACTCGTTGGGGGTGACGCAGTCCTTGATGTAGGCCTTCTCCAGGGCCTGCATGGTCTTCACAACGGCAAACAGCTCGGCCATGTTGTCGTACCTGAGGAGGGTGTGTCCGTCAGGGGGCCGCCGAGGCCCCCAGAGCCCAGGGCCCGGCTGTGGCAGACCCCGCATTGGGCCCCGCTGGCCCCACGTGCCCCGGGCCCTCGGTGTGCGCCCGGGGCGGCAGCCTGGGCGCTGGACTCACTTCTCCCGCTCCCGCGCGTTCTTGTACAGCTTCACTTCCTGTCAGAGAGAAGGGCGTGTGGGCACCAGGGCGGCCGCGCATGCGGGCCGGTGCTGTCGGTCCACACCCACCTGGCCGGTGCCCGCCACTCACCTCGTACAGTTCTGGCTTGTTTCCTGGGGCTGCAACAGAGCAGACAAAGGGCTGGCGGGCCTGTCCGTCGGCCCGGCCCCTCCCGGACCGCCCGCCCCGGGCTCTGCCACAAGGGGTCTGGAGGGGCGGGGACGCTGTTGGTTTGTGGGGAGACTCGAGCAGCAGACAGGCCTCCAGGGCTGGGGGCGACGTGCCAGGCCTGGCCCCCGTTCCACCACTGCCCCCCCCGCCCCCCGCAGCAGGGCGACCACACCCTGCTTACAGTGACCTGACAGGGCACCAGTGTTTGTCACACGCACTGTGATCTTTTCCCGGGCTGGTGGCTCCGGAAGCCCAGGATGTGCTGAGCCCCGGCCACACGAACGCGGTCACCTCTGTGCCCGGCGTGGGTCCCTGGGACCCAGGGATAAAATGCACCAGCCCCTGAGGCTGTTACTTGGGGAGACACATCGACGCCCCCCCCCCCCCCAACCCTCGGCCACGGCTCCCAGCAGCCTCTGCAGCAGGTGCTTCCAAGTGTGGGCAACTCCCGCCCCAGGGCCCAGCGCGGGCCACGCTCACCTCCCATGCCTGGAGTGGCTGGGATCCCGTGAAACATCCTGTAAGTTCAGGTGGCCGCAGCAGACACCTGGGGAACAGGACCAGCACTGACTCAGAGGGGCCCCCGACACCTCCCCAAGAGCTTCCCCGCCCTCCGCGGGGACAGAGGAGAAACAGCAGCGAACACATCGGACAGCGAATGCTACGTGGGGACACCCGCCCGGCCCTGGACACCGTCGGGGCAGCACCTAGGACAGCAGCCGTGGTCCGGGGAAGGGAAGGCTGCGTGGAGCACGCGCCTGGCGGGGGCGGGGGCCGGGGGGTGTGGGAGGCGGCAGCGCTTGGATGGACGACCGACGACTCGAGGAGCGTTTGGGCCCAGGAGACGGAGAGGTGACAGGAGGCCTCTGCATGGGGACCGACGTGGAAGAACAGACAAGCACGGGCAGGGGCTTCCCAAGTGGGGAGCATCCCAGGGACGCGGCTGCTGTGCGCGGCGCTCGCAGGGCTGGGGTCTGGGTCTGAGTTTTGTGCTGGCTCAGTGGGGGCCCCTGTAGGGCTGAAGACAAGCTCTGGGGGCTCCGGACGCGCAGTGGGCTGGAGAAAGAGGGGGGCAGGAGGCCCCTGGCCCATCGGGAAGTGGCCCATGCAGTGGCTGGGGCTCGAGCTGGAAGGGCTCCGGAGGCGGCCCTACCAGACCCACGGGAGGATTTGAAAAGGGGTGTAAAGGAGTCAAGGGTGACACTGGTTTTTGGCTCAGTGGCACCAGGACGCTACCGTGAGGTGAGACGGAAGTAGAAAGAGGAGCAGGTTGGCAGCCGGGCAGATGTGCAGGTAACTGCACCCTGGTTCGGATGTGTGAGGGTTGAGGCTACATTAGCCACCCAAGACGTGTGCTGAGGCGGGGGGAGTTCCGAGCTGAGCCGGTGCTGTCCCGCGGGGGCCAGTGAGGGGCAAACGAAGAGAAAAAGGAGCCCGGGTCACCCCGCTGCAGGGGCCGGGAGAGCGCGGCGACGTCCCAGCCGAGAGCACGTCGCAGAGAAACAAGGGCCGGGTCTGGGAGGGCAGGTGCACTGACAAGAGCCCGCTGGATGGGGACCCGGAGACTGGAGCGACCTCCCAGGAACCCCAGGGAGGGGGCGCCCAGTCGGTGCGACGGCCGCGTCCCCTTCAGCCACGCAAACCGGCGCCCCCTGGCGACAAGCGAGCGCGCAGGCAGAACCTCCCAAACCAGACCTGAACCAGAAAAGCGAGTTCCCAGGGAATGCCCGCGATGTGACTGTTGACATCGGGTCCAGGTTGGCAACGAGGCGCCCAGAGTGGGGGCGCACTCGGGGGCCCGGGCCCGGAGCCGGCCGGCGGAGGTGCTCAGGCGGGGGCCGAGCTTTGGGGCTGCTACCCACGGCCGCCAGGCTCGGAGGCGCTAATCCTGGGCGCCGGGAGAGGACACCCCAAGATGAAGGGCCGGGGCCCGAGGAAGGGTACTCTCTGCGGGATGGCGGTGCCCGCAGGCCGAGTCTCCTGTCCCCACCGGGTCAGCCGGCGCCCGCCCGTCCGCCCCCCGGGCCGCAGTACCTGGGCGGGATGCGCGGGTCAGGGAGATGGCGCCGGGGCGGGGCCGCCGATCGCTCGCTCGGCGATCGTACACATCCGCGCCTGCGCACACCTCCCAGCCATTGGCGCTCGACCCCCTCGCCTGCGCCTGCGCCGTACCACGACGGCCCCGCCCCCGACGCAGCGACTTCGGACGCAGGCGCTCAGCCCGCGGGCCGGACCGGCCTCGACCGACCGAGGCGGGAAGAGGAGCCGGGCCCGCGGGCTCTGCCGTCGCCCACAGGGCCTCTCGGTGGCCGCCCCCACTCTCGGCTCCGCGGCTCTTTCCCGGCAGCAGAGCCAATCCCGCCTCCCGCCCACCTCGCAGGAACAGCCGGGGTGAGGCGACAGCGGCGGCATCCTTTATTGGGGACACGGGGAGGGAACAGGGCGGCGCCGGCCGTCAGAGGCGCCGGAAGAAGAGCTTGGCGCCTCGGTCCAGCGTGCGGGCGCCGGGGCCCGGCTGGCTGGGCAGCCGCTGGCGCAGGGCGTCCCGGTCCTCGGCAGAGAGCCGCCTGCTGCACAGTCGCAGCTCCTGCAGCCGCGCGGCGATCTGGTCGCAGAGGGCCGGGCCCAGGGGGCCCTGGACAGCACAGCCTGCGGAGGGGAGGCAGGGCGGGCCTCAGGCAGTCGCTCCCAGCCGGCAGGCCGGGTGGTCCCGCGGGGCCCCAGCCCTTCCTCGCGACCTGCGTGTCCGGGGAAGGAGGGCCGCCCGCAGAGGCCGGGGTGGGAGCGCTTTCCCAGGGGGCCGCCTTGGGCCCCGTCACAGCCGGGGGTCAGGCAAGAGGGAGATGGGCTGGAATAAACGCTGCGTTCACAGCTGAGCCTCTGAGCGTGTCTGCGCCGCCGCCTGGGCCCCCCATCCCTAAAGTGCGCGCGGTGGGGCTGCCGGGGAGTGGCAGGCGCACGAGCTCAGTCCTCGGAGGTCACAGGGCCCGGGAGGCTCCGGACCCCAGGGGCTACTTGAGTACACCCCACCCCCAGCGCTCGGCCCCCCGGGAGGCAAGCTTGGCTGTCCTGCCCAGGCCCCAGGTGGATGTGCCCGCTGCTGGGTGGCTGCCCCCAGGTCACAGAGATAGCTCTGGCTGGCAGGGCGCTGTGCCCACAGTGGGGACGAGCGGAGCCAGGCCCCAGGCTTGGAGGGTGGGGTCAGTCAGCCCCTGCGGGGAACTGGGAGGGTCCCCTCGCGGCAGTGTGCACCACTGTTACCTTGAGCTCCCTCCTCCGGCCAATGGGAATCTGGAAGTCCCCCTGGAAGGGGGGTCCCATGCCCGCCACCGTGGGCCTGAGGGGCTGGCCACGCAGGCCAGGGGCAGAAACCCTGGGCTCCTCCTGCCCCGTGTTTTAAGAGCCAGGCTTACACCTCCTTCCTGTTGTCTGACCTGCACTATGTCAGCCTCAGGAGGCCCCTGAGGAGGAAGCTGTGTCACCAGCCCTGGTGCCCTGGTGTAGCAAGACGGCCACCAAACCCAGGGCTCACCTGCCAGGCCCAGGAAGCTCAGGCCTTGGGGCCGCTCCTGGAGGGCACGCAGGAGCTCCTCCAGGCCGGCACAGCTGATCTCGGGGTTGGCAGACAGGTCCAGCGAGACAAGTGGGGGGCACCGAAGGAGACATCTGGGGCGAGGGGAGAAGCAAAGCGGTCAGCTTCCAGGGAGGGGGGCCCCCACTGTGGAGAGCTGCCCCAGACAAACCCACAGCTCTGGGGCTACTGGCCAGGCCCGGTGGGTCCTGCCCCCAAGCTGGCGCGGGCCCACTGAGGGAAGGGCCGGCAGCACGTGCTCCCCTTCCCTCCTGACCTAGCACCCGAACCCCAGGCCTTGCTGTTAGAACCCCCTCGTGACAGGGCAGGACAGTGTTACCTGCTGAGCTCTATCACTGCCTTGTCGCCCAGGTGGTTTGCAGACAGGTCCAAGTGCCCCAGAGCACAGTCTTCCTAGAAAGCAGAGGCCCAAGGCAGGCTGCAGCAAGCGGGCACGCGCCCCCTGCCTCCCTGTCACAGTACCGGCCAGACACCTGTCCTCTTTCTTGGGCGCCAAGGGGTGTCGGGGGAGCAGCATCTCCTCGATTTGCAGAAAGGAAGGAAATACCTGTCCTTCCAGGCAGAAGCCATACCTGGCTTATTGTGACGTGGGAATCACGGGGACCCAGCCTTGGCTGGAAGAGCCCCCGGGGAGAGCCCTGGCAGGCCTGACCTGTTTCTGGGGACAAGGGAGGCCACCGGGGTCCCCAGTGTCCTTCCTGCTGAAGTTCCCAGCCTGACGCAGTTTCCCCAGAAGCCTGCAACTCCCCCCCAGCCTCAGGTTTCAGCTGTGGGCCCGCTGGTCTGGGTGGCCCAGGGCTCCGGTGGCACAGCATTTGTCCCCGCCCACGTACCTCGGTCAGGTACCTGACCACGGGCCCCACGAGGCCTGAGGGGCTCTTGCCGGCCACCACGGAGCTGAGCTCCAGGCGCAGGAGGGCCTGGGCGGGCAGGCTCTGCAGCGTCTGGGCCAGGGCCGCGGCGCCCAGGGTGTTGTAGGACAGGGACAGTGTCTTCAGGTGCTTGGCATCTGGAACGGGGGCAGAACCCGCGTCAGCCGCACACAGCCGCCACCCCAGCCGTGCCACGGAGTCCTGGGCCCAGACCCCTTACAAGGCCCCGGGGCGAGCCGCGACCCTTGAGACCGTGCGCAGGCAGAGAGGCTGCCCCTGCCCAGGGGCCTTGGCTGGGGAGGGGGGGCCGGACTCTGGCACCCAGCGGCTCCCCGCCACTTCTGACCTTTGCCTGCCCTGACCCACGACGAGGCGCCCACGTTGCCCGAAAGAGGCATGGGCAGGATGTGGTGTGGCCGGGTCAGGGAGTCTGAGCCTCCCTTCCCTGCCCACCACCACTGCACACGGCTCCCAGCCTCAGTGCCGGGACCACGGCTCTGCAGCACCGCGAGGCGTGCAGTGCAACGATCGCAGGCCCGTGGGGCTGAGCTGTTGAGGCTGGTGGGACTGGGACTCTGCCCAGGGGGATGGCCCAGGACCCGTGTCTGTCTACCTACATGTGTCCAGAATCCAGGCCAATGCCCTAGGGCCCCTCTTGCTCAAGGTACGGTCCCTGGACACCCCTTCCTGGGCCTGGACACCCCTTCCTGACAGCAGCTGGAACCCTGAGGCCAGGGAGTGGATGTGCAGTCAGCTCACCTTGGAAGGCACGGCCCAGGGCTGCCTGGTGGCTTGAGAGGAAACTGGGACCGAAGCCACAGGCCTGGAGGCGCAGAGCGCCGAGCGCGGGGCAGGCCTGCAGGACAGAGGCCAGGGCCGGGCCACTGCCGTCCCCAAGGGGGTTCATGCTTAGGTCCAGCTCCTCCAAGTTCTGAGGAAGACAAAGGCCCCAGAGGACCTGGTGTCCTTGCCGCCCCGGAGCTGCGCCCCCCACTGCGGCCTGGCCGAGTGCGAGTGCCCCGAGGTCGCCCTCTCACCGACCCGCTGCTCCCCATGCCCTTACCTGCAAGGTGGCCTGTCCCAGGTGGCCCCTGGCGAGCTGGCACAGGCCTTCGGGGCCCAGGTGATTGGAAGAGAGATCGAGGACAGTCAGGCCAGGCACAGTGCTCAGGGCAGCCAGCAGCTCGGTGACACAGCCGTCCCCCAGCCGGTTCCCCGCCAGGCGCAGCTCCCGGAGCACCGAGTGCATCTTGAGGGCCCGCAGCACAGGCGTGAGCTGGGCTGGGCGCAGGGCCAGGGAGCAGGCGCGGAACGAGGGCCCCAAGCCCTGGCCCTCCATGGCCTGGAGCACCTGCGGGTGCTCCCCTGCAAGTGGACGTGGTGTCACCGCGAGGGCCAGAGCCTAGCTGTCTGCCCTGTGAAGCCTGGCAAAGGCAGGCAGCCCCTCCTCCCTGCCAAGCCCCCCACTCCAAGCCTGTGCAGGCCTGCAAGTGGCGCGGGCCTGCGTCTCTCCAACAGGTGTTCCCCAGCAGGGCCCTCAGCCTCGCGGCTCTGGGGTCTCCACAAGGTCCTGCCTCCCGGTGGAGCCGCTTCCCCCTCCATGCCACTCACACACGCAGGCAGTGGTTGGGGAGGAAAACCTGAGGACAGGTGAGGGTCGCCTGGGGAACTGGGAGGGGCAGGAACCAGTGGAGCCCACGTGTCCCGCCCCCCCTCCCCGCCCAGGCCACCGTGGGCCTGCTGGGCCCTCACTCTGCCCCAGGCTCTGGCAGGCCCTGCGGTAGCGGTCGCTCAGCGGGGGGAGGTCCCACGAGGTCACCTCGGCCAGCACCTGGAAAGCACCATGGGTGGGCAGCGCAGGGCCCCCGCAGCCCCGGGGCGCCCCACGCGCCGGGCCCTGGCTCCTGCCCCTCACCTCCTCGTTGCTCTGCAGCACATCGGGGATGGGGTCCTGTGGGGCCAGCAGGGCCCCTTCCTTGCGTAGGGTGAGCCTCGGCAGCAGCCCACAGGCCTGGTAGTAGCGCTGGGCGGCCTGTTCGGCCAGCCAGGCCACAGAGTGGGCCTCCGTGCTGTGGGAGCAAAGGGCGCGCTGACCCCTGGCGCTGGCCAGACGCCCATACCCGCCGAGGAAAGGCCCTGGCACCCCGCTACTCCTGCTCTCCAGGGAAAGCTCGCTCCTCCGGCTCCTCCTCTCTGCCCCGCCTGCTCAGAATGCCCATGGCCCCTGCAGCCCGGCCCACCTCCTGCTCCCAGGGGCCGTGGGACCGACCTGACCCTTCTAGGGCCCTGCCTGTGCTTGTGCAGAGCGCCCTGACCTTGCTGCTGCCCCGCCCCCAGCCACCAGGCCCCCGGGGCCCGCAAGGGTGCCACATCCGCCTGACCCGCAAACCCCAGGGCCCCCAGCAGAACCCCCAGAGGCACACGGAGCCAGAGCCGAGGAAGGAGGTGGGCGCCCTACCTGTGTGGGACGGGGATGAGGAAAAGGTTGTCCTGCACGCGAACCCGAACCCGGATGGCAGCGGGCAGGGCTGGTCCCTGGCAGGAGCAGCAGGGAAAGATGGCCGAGTCAGAAAGAAGAGCCCTCGGCCCACCCCGAGCCTGGGGCCGGCTCTGCTCCAGGCCTGCACACCTACCGAGGGCTGGCCTGCCGCAGGGCCGTCCCCGCCGGGAACGCCAGGGCTCCGTGGGGGCTCCGTGGCCGCACTGCAGCCTCCGCGTGCTCTGGCCGCTGCGCTCCGACTGCCGTGACGGCGTGGCTGGCTCTGCCTGGCCTGGGCCCGCTGCCGGACGGGGCTCTCGTCGCTGCTTGATCCCGAGGAACTGCGCCTGCTCCTGTACCCTCTGCCCTGGCGGCCATGGGTCAGCAGGTCATCCTCCAACCAGGCCCCAGGCAGGCACTCCTCGGGGATCAGTGCCGGCGGCGGGGTGGGGGCCTCGCCTGGGCCCCGAGGCGGGCCAGGCCCCAGGCGGCAGCTCTGGGCACTGCCCCCCTGGCTGGCCGCCCAGCCAGCCGCCGCCGCCTCCCGAGCGCCGACCGGGCCAGGCACCCAGGCCTGCGCTCGCTGTGCCGGCGCCGCGTGCCGAGGTCTCTTCTGGGCTGGCCCCGGTGGGCCTGGGCTGTCCTCGCCCTCTGAGCCGCCGCTGCTGCTGCTGGTCAGCCAGTGCCTGCTCCTCCTAGGCCTGGCCGCGGCTGGCACCGCCTGTGCCCCCGAGACCCCGGTACTGGCCTGAGAGGCCTCGGGGGGTCCTGGGCTGGGTCTCGAGGAAGGAGAGGTCTCAGGGTCAAACAGATGGTCACTTGGGAAGGACCGGGGAGCCAGGGGGCTGTGGGGAGCTGTGGGGAGATGGAATCTGCTGTGAGGCAGGCGCGACACGTTCCTGCCGCCTGTGTGAACGCGCCCGAGGGGCCCAGGGGACCCAGGCTAGGGAGTGATGCCCCAGGGGCAGGGGTCCCTGCTCACCTCGGCCGGAGGAGGCCGCCCGAAGCAGCCTCTCCATGGCGCCAGCCTTCTCTCTCGTCTCACCGTCCAGGTCCCTGTGGTACAGCTTCACCCACTGCTGCAGCGTCTCCAGTGGGCTGTGGCCCTGTGCGGCACGGGGCTGAGCGAGGCTGGCGGGAACCGGCCCACCAGCCGTGGCCGTGCCGTGCCCGCGTGGCCCGCCCGCACTCACCTTCTTAGTTCGGAGGGTGACCGACGCCCCCCGTTCAACGAGCAGCTTGGCCACCTCAAAGTGGCCGCAGTTGAGAGCATCGTGCAGGGGAGTGATGCCCTCGCAGCCCTGGCCGCCTGGGTCGTCCACCGCGGCCCCGTGGTCCAGCAGAAAGCGGACAATGTCTGTGGGACGGGGGGTGTGAGCCAGCTTTCAGGACCCTCCTCGGCCCCCGGCCCCCGGGCCCGTGCTCACCCAGATGCCCGTAGTTGCAGGCCTCGTGCAAGGGTGTCCAACCGCAGTAGTCCCGGGGGCTCAGGGGGTGGCCCTGCGACCAAGGACAGAGAGGAGCCTCAGCCAGAGCAGCCCGGGGCCTGGCCTCCCCTCGGGGCTCTGCGGCCGGAGGAGGGCCAGGTCCTGGGGGGCAGAGCCCAGAGCCGGCTCCCCGGGTCCAGCCACCGCCTGGCCCGGCCTAGGACCCGCCAGAGCGAGGGAGATGCCCCCGGCGAGGCCCTCTGGGACAGCACGGCCGGCAGCTCACGCTTCCTCCCATGCCCTCGGGGCAGGCAGCGCACCCCCTGCACGGGCCCTGCTGCGCCCCGTGGGGTGGGGGGACAGGCACAGGCCCACCTGTCTCACGAGGTCCTGGACGCGGCGCAGCTGGCCCTCGATGCAGGCTCGGTGCAGCAGGGTCTCCCCCACGTCATTGCGTCGGTTCCACTGTGGGTGCAGGCATCGCCACACGGGGACATAAAGGCATAAGGGGACCAGGCCACACCAGCGAGCAGCCGAGGGGACCCCCCAAGGGTCCTCACCTTGTTTGCCTGCCGACGGCCCCGGCAGGCCTGCAGCTCCTCATCCTCCTCCAGCTGTGGGGACTGGCGGTCGGCCTCCTCCTCTGCAACAGGGCCGCGCCGGCACCCGGTGAGCCGAGCCCGCGCCGCCCCCGGCCCTGCCCAGGGCCGACCTCCCGTCCTGCCCCCAGGCCTTACTCAGCGCTCAGTGTCCTCCCTCTCCTGAGAAGCATCCTTGCTGGGACCAGTCACACCCACATTAAGAACAGCTTGTCCTTGAGCCCGCTCCCTCCGCCGGCCGCGTGCACGGTGTGGAGGGGCTGCGGGACACTGCGCCCCCCCCCCCCCCCTCGCCCCCCCCCCCGCCCCCGCCACCGCCGCGGGCCCTTCCCAGAGCCTGTCCTCACTGGGACCGCCCACCGCACAGCAGGGCCTAGAGCTGTCTCTGGTCCGCCCTCTGCGCCTGCGGTGGCTCCTTGCACTCACCCCCAAGCGACATCCGGCCCAACCCCCTTGAGGCGTGGCCCAAACCCCCCACGCCCCAACCTCCGAGAGCTTCTGGAGGCCCCTCACATTCAAAACGGAACCTGCGGCTCCTGGCCCAGCCCCCCCTCGCTGCCCCCGCGGCCCTGAGGCGGCTGCAGTCCACGCCCGTCCCTCATGTCCACCTGCCGTGACACCGACCGCGCCGGCCCCTGGGGGCCCTGCACCAGCCCTCGGGGTTCCAGGCGGTGCCGAGCTCCGCCGCCCCTCGCTGCCCGTGCTCGTGCGGTGTGCCATCGGCAGGTCTGACCTTCCTCGGGGGCGCCTGCCAGCCCCCCTCGCCAGCCCCTCCAGGGAGGTTCCAGGGCTGCCCCGCACCCCTGCACACGCCCCTCCTCGGTCGCAGTCCCTGAAGCTGTCCCTGCCACGAGCTGGGGAGCAGGCCCCTGAGGGCGCCACCCTCCCCCGCCACAGCCCAGGCCCAGCTTGACTGGGTGTCGTGGAGGCAACTCCGGGGACTGCTAGCAACGCGCGGGCCTCACCGCTGTCCGAGAGCTCCAGGTCGCTGGCCTCCAGGGGGCCGCTGTCCTCGTCTCCCTCCCCGTCCTCCTCTTCCTCGTCTTCGCTCTGGCCCACACACAGCGCCTGCAGCCTGGCTTTAGTGCCCGGGGCTGCCTGGGGCTGCAGCCTCAGCTGCACGGCATGGAGCTGCTGCAGGACCTGCCTCTGAGGAGCAGAGGGCAGCCGGTCACGGCCACAGGGAGACTGGCCGCCCCGAGTCGCGGGAGACAGGATGGGGGGTGGGGGAGACAAGGGCTAGGGCTGCACCTGCAACTGGGGCTGCTGAGCCTTCTGGGCGCAGCAGAGAGCCTTCTGGAAGCACGGTTCCAGCTCCTCATACGTGTCCCCAGCCTCCTCGCGTGACAGCGCAATGTTCAGCCAGGTCTTGGCTTCCTGGAGCAAGAAGAGGGCGATGAGCTTGGTGACAACTGCCCCCTCCCTCCTCGAAAGATGGGCCGGGCCCGTGCATGCCCCCCCGCGCCCCCCCCAGAGCGGAGGTGCCGCGGCCGAGCGGCGGGGACAAGCGCGGAGACCTGCGGGCGCCGGCATTGCTCACCTCCAGGGTGTTGCCACCTCGCAGCCTCAGCTCCTCTTCGTAGTGATGCACAGCCCGGCGGTGGTCCTTCAGGTCCCCCAGGGTGGTGGCCAGGGACACGTGGATGACGGCCAGCTCAGGCCCTGGCCGGCCCAGCCGCTCCGCGAAATCCAGCTGGGGACAGGATGGGGTCAGGGCTGCCTCCCACCTGGGAGCCCAGAGCGTAGCCCCGCCCAGCCCGTCCCGGCCCCCGCCCAGGTGTGCACCTGCTTCTGGTAGGCCTCAGCCGCCTTGGGGAAGTCGCCTGCCTTGGAGAACAAGTCCCCCAGCTGCTCGCAGAGGCCCAGGGCGCCCTGAGGGTCGCTGCTCTCGGCCTCCTCCAGGCGCTGCTGCAGCTGGACCACCGCCAGCACTGCCGGGAAGAGCCTCGTGTGAGGGGCGGCCCGCCCACCCCGCCCGGCCTCCGCTGGCCTGCAGGGGAGGTGGGTTGGTCGGGGAGTCGGCCTCCCGGGGGTGCTGCGTGGACTGGGACAGGCACGTGACAACTCGGCACTGCCGGCTTGGGCCGGAGGCAGACCGCTGTCCACACGGCTGGCGCCCTCCGTCGGCACCCTGGCCGTGCGCCCTGCCCGCTGTGGGGGGCCAGTTTTTGTCTCCAGTTTGCCAAAGGTTCTGGTTCACATGGAAGTGCCCAACCAGGCTCCTGGCCACCCTAAGGGCCTCTCCAGCAACTGTGCTGTAGACTCAGGAAAGACTTGTCTCCCATCAGGGGGTGGGGGGCTGCCTGCTCTCTAGGGTACATGCCCAGTCCCCTCTGCCAGGCGAGGGGAGCCTCGTCCCCCAGGGTACCCTCCAGGCTCACCATGTTTGAGGGCCTGGCGCACGGCTGCCTTCTGCAAAGGCTTCTGGGAGCCCAGCCTGTAGGCCTTCTTCAGTGCTCTTTTGGCAGCCAGAAAATCACCCAGGTCTTGGAGGACCTGGGGGGTGAGGGAGGTGAGGCTTGCGGTGTCCAGGGCCCCAGCCTGCCCGCAGCTGAGCCCAGGCCACCAGAAGGGCACCTGTGAGATGAGCAGGCAGCACTCGCTCTCCATGTACCCCTTCCTCATGGCGCGCGCGCACTCCCGGGCGCCCTCCAGGCAGCGCATGGCCTGGGAGTGCTGCCCTCGGCGCCAGTGGATGGCGCCCAAGTTGTAGCGGGCGCGGAACAGGTCCTCGTACAGGTGGTTCTGCCTGCAGGCGGAGGCAAGTGCTCAGAGTGCCGCACGGAGGGCCCAGCCGCCCACCCGACAGCTGCCTCCCCGGGGGACAATGGACGCAGCTCCCTCCTGGGCCGAACAGGGCAGCCTTACTCGGCGAGAAAGATGCTCTTCTTGAAGTAGTCGCTGCACAAGGCCGTCTGCTGCAGACTCTCGAAGGTGAGGCCCAGGTTGAGGTAGAGCCGGGCCCTCATCTCACTGAGCTCTCGCTTGGACAGCGTCCCTGGAAGATGACCTCTTGACATTCAGGGCCTTGACCCCAGCTGGGGGGGCCCCGACCCCCACCCCTCTTCCTGCCTCTCTCCAGGGCGGGGGGCGGTTCCAGGGGTCATGCTGCAGACAGCGTGAAGGAACAAGAGCACGCGACTAGCTGCCGGAGTTGAAGTTGCCAGGAGCACGGGCTGTGTCCCCCGAGGAGGGGGCTGCTAAGAACAATCCCAGCCCCGCCCAGGCAGGTGAGCGCCACGCAGGCTGGGCCGGCTGTGGGGCTGCAGGGTCCTCGGCCCACAGCTCTGGAGGCAGAGGGTGGGGAGGGCTGGACCCAGGGCACTCACTTTGCAGCTTCTCGTCCACGATAGCCAAGCTCTTCTCAAAGGCAGCCCGCGCCTGCAGCAGGTCATCCTGTGACTGGCAGTGGTAATAGATGTCCAGGTGAGTGCGGCCAACGGTAGCCCAGGCCCTTTGCAGCTCCGTGTGGCTGGACAGCGAGCGGGCCAGCTCCAGGTACAGGTGCTGGTGCTGGGGTGCAGAGGGGCAAGGGGTTGTGAGCCAACTCCTGCCTGAAGCAAACCCCACGTGTCCAGGGACCCCCCCTGCGACAGAAGAGCCTCTGCTCCCCAGAACATTCCCCCCTCCACCCGGAGCATCTCCTGCATGCCAAAGGCTCCCTGCGAGGACACGGGCCCCACAGCCCAACAAGCAAACATCAGAACAGCAAAGGGACAGTATGTGAAAGTTGGGTTACTGTAGCCCCCCGCGGCCAGGCCACCACCCCCTGACGGCGAGACCCAGTCGCACACAGCACGTCCCCCTCTGGCCAGAGGACGGGACAGTAGAGATTGCGCCTCGGTCGCCGGCGGGGGTGCCGGGTGCGCCGCCCACCTGCAGGGCAGCTGAGTAGTTCTCCATCTCCGCCAGCCGCTCCCCGATCTTCCGGTGGGCCACGGCGCAGCCCAGGGGATCGTCCGCGCTCTCGAGCAGCCGCAGCTCCTGCTGATGCTCCTGCAGGGCCTCCAGGTAGCGGCCTGTCGGGCGGGCGGCCTTCAGCCGGGCGGGCGGGCGGGCGGGCAGGCGGCCCGGGGCCGCGGGCAACGCGCTTCACAAGGCTACCGCCCCCGTCCCGAGCGCCCCCCCACCACGCCCTGGCCCCGGCTGTGGACGCCCCCACCCCCGGCCCCGCGCGAGGCACGCACCATGGCTGGCCAGCAGCTCTCCCAGCTGATGGCAGAGCGCGGCTTCCTCCCGCAGCTGCCCGCTGCTCTGGGCCTTGGCTTTGGCCTTGCTCAGCTCTGCAGAGAGAGAACGAGGCCGGGAAGCTGAGGCCCTCCGCTCGCGCCCGCCTGAGACTGCTCCCGGGACCGCGCTGGGGAGCTCGACTCGGGGACTCACGGCGGAGCTCGCGGTCCAGGCTCATCGTGGTCGGGCCGCCGCTCCGGGATCCAGACTTCCCGCGCTCCGGCGGCCCCGCCCCGCCTCGCCTCCCCGGCTCAGGCCCCGCCCCAGCGTGGGTTCAGCCCCGCCCCTCAGGCCCTGCGCGTCGTGGAGCTTCACGGGAAGTGTAGTCCGGTCGTCCGAAGCATCCTGGGAACTGTAGTCCGCCTGGCTCTGGGCGGGAGGAGCGGCGAGAGGGCGGCCGCCCGCCGGGACTCCCGAGGCCGTCCGGACGCGGAGGCGCCCCCGCGCCGGCCCCGCGGCAGCCGCCGCCCCGTGCCGCCGCAGACCCCCACACTCACCCAACCTACGCGCGGCGCGACTTTTCCTGAGGAGCGCGCTGCCGTCGTGTGGGAGGGGATCCGTGACCACGCCGGCCGAGCCCTCGACGTGCCCGTGGCCCGACCCGCCTGGGGACTCAGCGCCAGGGCCGCGGAGGGTGGGGCACGCTTTCCGTTAGAGCCGCCGGCCCACCCTGTGATGCGGGAGGCGGCCGGGGTCGGGCCTGGCTCCGAGCGCGGGGACCCGCGGCCCCGGCCGCACGGCACGCCCAGCCCAGGGCACCGGGGCCGCGGCCGGCGCCGCGAAGGCCCTAGAGGAGGCCCGGAAAGAAGCAATGGGAGACGGACGTATTTATCTTCCATGGAAGTCGAAAGGCCCCCAATGGCGTCAAAGCCTCGGCCGGTGGGCGGAAGCCCAGGTCTGTTAGGGAGGGAATGACGCGCAGGCAGACGGGGCCTTCGGTCTGAGAACGGCTGCCCAGGGCCTGGCGGCCGGCGCGGCAGGAGGCGGGCCGCGGGGCCCTTTGGACACCCCACCGCCCGACGCGTGTGGCCCCGGCGCGAGCGGGGCAGGAGACCCTGAAGCCGAGCGGCTCGGCTGAGCGCCCTCCCCAGAGCCACCGCCGCGGTGCTGCCCGGCTCCCCTGCAGCCCCTGCACCCTCAGGGCGCCAAGTCCTGGGGGCCCCGTTGCTCTCCAGGGAGGACGCAGCTGCTCTATGCCTCGGTTTCCCCACCGGTCAGCCGGGTGTGTATGGCCGTTGGCGCTGCGCTGGGGCTGGAGGCTGGGGAGGCCGGGGAGGCCACCGGCTGGGAGCCCCCAGGGGCCGGAGCTGAGCCCGGCTGGGGGCCTGCAGGGCCCAGGAAGCCCACCCGGGAGGCTGTCCTCTCATAAAGAAACAGACAAAACGTGGTTTGGAATTTTTTTTAAAGCTCAGTTACATACAAATAATATCCGAAGAGAACTCAGACCACAAAAGTGACATGAAAGTCATTTCCAACAGCGGTAAAAACACCTCTGCAACCGCTCTGTAAAAACGTTTTATTGTGTTGGTAAATCTCTCACTTTGGGTGAACGGAGAATGTAATGTTCACAGCGGGCGGGGATGAGAAGGCGGACAGGCCGGCTTGGTCGGTGCCCCGCGGCCTCCCCGGCACCGCGGAGGCGGCACCTCTGCCAGCTCCCAGTCCGGGCGCCAGGATGGCAGCAGGTCCTGGCGACGGCCCACTGGCGTGGCCGTAAACCAGCGGCCCCCGGCAAGATGACACGAGGTCAGCCGCTGCCCCGTGGGGGCTGGGATTCCCTGGGTGCCAGGCTGCCCGGGCTGTAAGGTGGCCATCGCGGGGCTGGGACGGGCCAGCAGGCCTCCTGGGCACCCCAGACACACACCCACGCCCGCGACAGGGAGGGCCAGCTGGCCTGGTCCCTCTCCCACACACGCCCTTGGTGCCAGAACCGTGGGCTGGAAGCCTGACGTGGGGTGGAGCCTCCCTCCGTGCACACAGAGCGGCGGCCTGGACTGCCCAGCCCTGTCTGGCAGCTGTCAACTTCCACCCGCACGCAGGAATCGGCTACTTCTCCCCCGGCGCCCCCAAGAGGGCCGCCAGGGGCTGCCCCCGCCCCCCCCACGCTGACTCCCGCTCACACAGGCCACCCAGACACCAGTGGGCCGGGCAGTCCCTTCCCTGCCTGGACGCCCTCACAACACCGTCACCCGGGAATCCAGGAACTCTGCGGAGGCGCCGGGCCCCAAGAGGCTGAGATGCAGGGACGCAGCTCCATCTCCTACACACAGGACACCGGCGTGCGTCTACCTGCCTGTCATCCTGTGCACCCACCAAGCGGGGGTCTGCCGAGGGCAGGGGCGCTCACGTCCACACTGAGACTCATGGGGGCTGCAGTGGGATCTTCGTAGAGGACAGAAAACCCAACAGTGTGCCTTCTGGTCCCCTCAGGGGCCAGGCCATTGGCCTTGAAGGAGGGGAACGCCCCCGCCCGAGCCCCATGCCCTGGGCTTGGAGCAGGAAGCCACATGGGCTCCTCAGAGGAGCTTGGGGAGCCACCCTGGCAGGAGAGAGGCGCCCCAGAGAGAGGCCAGGCCATGGCTGCACTGCCCGCTGAGCCCTGCAGGGCCAGAGCAATCGGGCTGCTCTGAGGCACAGGGTGGGCCTGGCCAGGGGCAAAGGAGACAGTTCTTTGGTATTGAAGCTACAAAAAACTATCACAGAAGAGCCATGTCTCCGGAGAAGGGCAGCAGGGACAAGCTCTCCAGTAGCTCCGAGGGTCCCAAGGTCCTCCAGACAGGGCTCCCTTCACTCCGAGGCCCCTCCCTGGGAATGCTCGCTCGGGCCTCGGGGAGCAGCAAATTCACAGCTAGGAAGGGACCACCTCTCTTCAGTGAGAAACCATGGTGCTCAGGCGCTGCCCTCCCTCCCCGGGGGCCCCGATGCAGGACCAGCAGCTGGTCCCTGAGAGCATGGGGGCGGCTGGCCCACTGTGACCCTCGTCCGGCCAGGCTCGCCACGGCCAGCAGCCCCCAGAGCTCGCTTCACAGCCTGGTGACAAAATCGAGTCTCTCTCGCTAAATTTGCGTAACTTATAGAGGAGCCTGTAAAGAGTTTCATTTATTTCCTGGGAAGAGACAGAATTTCACCCTGCATTCCGAAACGTCTGCTGAGCCCAGGTGGCCAAGTCCTGCCTCCCTAGAGTGGCTGGGAGGTGCACTGAGGACACTGTGAAACCCCTGACCCTGCCCGTTCCCCTGCCAGGGCCCATGGTAGAGGGGCAGCCTCTCCGAGTGTCTCCCAGGGGGCACAGTGAAGGGCGGGCAGGCTCTGACGCCCAGGCCAAACCAAAGCCCCCAAGATGTCCAATCACAGCCACGCCTTACCCTTGAACAAAACAGAAAGTAGGAAACAAGGGTGCCTTTTTAATTGCAATCAAATATGCTGTCTGAAGCCAGCGCCCTGTGAGCCTGGCCCAGGAGCTGTGTGTGGCCCAGGGCAGGCGGGGCGCCCCGCCGAGGGACGGGGACTGGCGGGTCTGCTGTGCGTGCCTCGCGGTGTCCCTGGACCAGCTCCGGCGCCCTGGACGGGGCGGAGGGCGAGGTGGTGAGCGCTCACACTTTCGCACACGCATGCAGACTTCCCCAGTGTTCACATCTGTTCCTCCTCCTCCTCCGCTGAAATGGTCAGACAGCACTGCGAAGCCACGGCTGGACAGGTGTGGGCAGCGCCGCGGGCGCCTACTTCTGGATCTGGAACAGGAAGAGCCGCAGGTTGATGTTCTTGGCGGCCAGCAGCTTGTTGCACTCCACGGAGTCCACGATGGGCAGTGGCACGTAGTCCGTCTCGTTGCTTTCGTTGGTGAAGACGAAGTGGTAGATGATGGGGCTGATCTTCACGTCATCGTAGGGGCCCTTGAGCAGCAGGAAGGAGCACTCCAGGGGAGCCGTGACCTTGCTCTTGAGCAGCAGCTGGAAGGACAGCGTGCGCTTGCACGACAGGTTGGGGTTGCGCTCCGAGTCGTTCACACGCGCCTTCAGGACCCACGTCTGGTTCAGCACCGTGAACCGTGGCGTCTCGTAGTACAGGCGCGTGATGAAGTCGTCCGTGCGGTATGGCCGGAACTGGACCTCTGTGGAGACAGACAGGCCGGAAAGAGCCGGCAGTCAGGGTGGGCCAGGCCAGTGGTGGCGCCTTCCCACCAGCTGAGAACACAGGCTCAGCCGGGCGGAAGGCAACTTACCAGGAGGACACAGGTGCTCTGCTTGTCACAGGGCAAATCAAAGGCAATTATGGCAAATGGAGGCACACACAAGCTTTGGGGAAAGAACTATAAACAGAAGTGACACGCGTTAGCGGCAGGGAGTCCAGAGGCTGCGAGGTGGGCGACCAGCCCGACCCCTGGCCTCCCTCCTGGCCCCCCGCCCGCCCCAGGGCCGTGGGTAAGCAGACACACAGACAGGATGCAGTTCCGAGAACAGTGCACTTTATTGGTTCCATACACAGCTGCCAGACAGTTGGCAGGCAGGCAGGCCGGCGTGTGGCATCCGGCCAGTCGAGTGCTGGTGTGCGGCCCACTGCTGGGCTCTGCCGTCAGTCCTCAGCACAGCCCACGCCCCAGGCTGGCTGTCCCTCCACGGAGGTGGTCAGTCCTTCCTGCGTGGATGGGCTCTCTGCCCTGCCGGCGCCCACGCCAGGATGCCTTGGCCTGCCCAGGCACAGAGGCCTGGCCTGGGCTGTGGGCCACGGCGCCCATGAGGGGGGCCGAGGCTGTAACTACATGGGCCCTGGGGCCCTCCGCCGCTCAGGCCCGTGCGGGCTCACACTAAGCCAGGCCCAGTCGAGGCAGCACAGTGTGACTGGCTGCCAGTGACAGCCCCTGGCTCTCGGAGCCGGCCCCCGGCGGGGGCTGGGCAGTAGAGGACTGGAGTCTCCCTGAACGGCCCCAGCATCAGCAGGTGCTTCTGGCTGTTCAGTGTCTAGACCAGGCTCTGGGCTGGCTCCTGCTCCCAGCATGTCCAAAGGCAGTGGCCAGGAGCGCCCACGAGGTCCAGCGGGCCTGGGTGCAGTCCAGCCTGCCTGGCCCCGGGCGTCCACTCCCAGCTCTGCATTTCGAGCTCGGCACCCTCAGCTGGATCTGGAGCCCCGGCCCTGAGCATCTTCTCGCTGGCCTCAGGAGGTCTGTGGCCACTGCAGCCTCACACCCACCGGCAGGACCCAACACGACGAGATTTCTTCTGGCCTTTGGCTCTGCAGGGCAGGCCACCGGCTCCTGGGCCCCCCGAGCCACACCCACCTTCGGTTCAGACCCATGGTCCTAAGGCTGTGCAGCCCCATGCAGTGAGGACGCCACCTCGCCGAGGTGGCAGGGTGGGGCTGGGAGGGGAGGATGGGTGGGCGGGGCCCCTGTGAGAGCCATGCAGGTGCCCCTGAGGTCCTGCCCCGCCCCTCCCCTGCTTAGCCTGCGGGCCAGCCTCTCCCGCAAGCCATCCCCCGTTCACCGGGGGTTCGCCCAGAGCCCAGCCCTGGGCACAGCCTGTGCCCACTGCTCCCCGGGCGCCCAGCCGCCGGCCCCAGGCTCCGCGGCATGCGGTGGGCAGTGGGTGCCTCACCTGTGTAGCCGATCTTCTCGAAGCTCAGCAGGCTGAAGATGCTGTTGTAGAGCTGCATCTCCTTACGGTGGCTCTGGTCCATCTCGTCCAGGATCTCCATCAGCTCGTTGCCCGTCTTGGTGGGGTGGGCACAGGCGGCCTCGTGCACAGTCAGCTCATGGAAGGGGCCGTGCCACGGGCAGCCAATACGCTTGTACTTGCACTGGGTCACCCTGGGGGGCAGGCACATGGTCACGGCCCGTGCCCCATGCCTCTGTGCAGCCCTGCTCACTCATGAGCCGCTCCCTGAAGAACACACTCAGTAGGCACTGCCCCCCAGGAAGAGGCGAGTGTGCGTGGGAGGAGCTGTGCGAGGCGTGAATGCACAAGCCAGCCACACCCGCTGCCGTGGGGTCTCCGTTCTGCTTGGAAAGGGCAGCTTTGGACCAGTCTTGGACCCTGGCCCCAGCTGCCAGGGACTGGGGAGCGGCTGGGGAGCCAGTACAGCCTCTCCCCGAGGCCCCAGAGCTCCTGAGCTGGCTGCTCTCTCCTGGGCCCCGGGAGGCCAAGCGCAGCCTTTTATGTAAGAGGCCGCCACACAGACAGAGACCCCTGGACGGCCACAGTGGGGTCCAGCCAGCCAGTGTGTGCAGACCTAAGCCCCACCCTCTGTGGGCCCCACGCCCAGCCCACCGCAGGGACTGGACCCTGAGCCGCTTCGCGCTGGCCCAGCCCTGCAAGGTCATCCAAGGGACGTGTGCACAGACGCGGAGACCCGGGAGCACGGGCCGGCCAGAGCGCCGCATGCTGGGCCCGGCCTGCGCCGGGCGGCCCCCCCCCACCCCCCGGCCGTTACCTGTCTTGGCATTCCTCCTTCTGGTGCCTCTCCAGGAGGGAGCGGGGGAACTGGCGCAGGCAGAAGCCACACTCAGAGGGCAGCTCGCTCACAGCTTTCTCCACAGCCAGGTTGCGGCAGCAGAGGCTCTTACTGATCTCACAACGACAGTTGGGGCACGTGGCCTGCTCCTCCTTCAGCCGGGCATCTGCTAGTAGGTGGATAAAACAGCCAGCGCACATCAAGTGACCGTTAGTACACTGCGAAGAAGGAAAGGGAGATGAAGCTCACAGACCTGCAGGGCTCGCGCACACGCATGCGCCGCCTGCCAGCCCCAGCCAGGCCCCCCGAGGGCTCGCGCTGCAGGAGGGGCTGCCGTGCCCGGAGCTGCCCGTATGCTGGTGCCTCACACAGGGAGGGACAGGCCCCTTTCCTGGAGCCCTGCTAGGACACAGCCTGCGGGGCTCCTGTGTGAGCCGTCTCCAGGGGGCCCTCGGCAGCCTGCCGGGGGCGACCGACCGCACTGCGGCTGGGGGCCTGGCGCTTTCACGCCCCAGGGGTCGGAGACCGCTCACAGGCCCCAATTTTGGGATGCCCACAAGAACTCGGACGCCTGGCCGAGCGCGGCAGCGGCACCGAGCCCGCCGCGGTCGAGGGGACAGCAGATGCTGCGGCAGGCGCCCCTCTCCCTGGCCCTCCGGAGGGCCACTCCTGCCGCGCCGGCCCCGCCCTCCCCGCTGCACCTCCTGGACCAGCACAGGTGAGAACGAAGCTGCCACCCACCCAGTGAGGATGGCTCCCTGCAGGGACCTTCCCAAGACCTGGAGAGACAGAGCCACTGCGGGCGGGGCGGCTGAACCGGCCTGGGACCAAGGCGGTACGTGCCCAGGGGGACGCGAACAGGGCGGGGAGGGCGAGAGGCGAGTGGGGTGCGCTGCTGCCAAGGGTCAGGAAGAGCCAGGCCTCCGCCCCGTCTGAACCGGAAGACCTGAGGCCCAGAAGTTGCCTGTCACCAACCTGCCCCTCCTGCTGGGAGTCTGAGCCTGGGGAGGGAGGGCAGGCTGCCAGCTCGACCCCTCTCTTTGGCCTCTCGCTGGGTCTGCACACAGCACCCGAGCACCCACTTGGTGCTGCCAGGGGTGCTGTGGGCCCGGCCCACCAGAGGCTTAGGGTGGGGGCGGGGAGGGCACCCAGGAGCCCAGAGGCCCCCGAGGAAAGACTTGAGCCGAGCGCCGGCTGGAGTCGCCCTGATACTCCGAGGCTGCAGGTCTGGCCCCCCGTCACGGGACGTGCGAGCACCAGCCAGGGACTGCACGAATGGGTGGGACAACAAAGCAATGTTTTTCTCTCTAAAACCCATTAAAAAAAAAAAAAAAAAAAAAAAAAAAAAAAAAAAAGACTTGAGCTGAGTGTCCTCTTGGGGCAGACGCAGCCCCCTCAGCCCGGCGCAGGGGCAGGGGCAGGGGCAGGGGCAGGGGCAGGTGACCAGGGGCGGGCGAAGGGGTCACACAGAGCCCGGGGATGTGCGGGGAGCGTGGGGCTCTCAGCTGAGCTCAGCGCCGGGGGCGGCCGCCGGCCGGCGGGCTGGGGGTGTCCATGCAGGCAGATGGCCGAGGCGCGCCGGCCGCGGCTGACCCCCAGAGCGCCCTGGCCACAGGCTGCCCTGGGGGCCCAGGACCCTTTTGAGAGGAGGAGGCAGTGCAGCCAAGGTTCGCAGGGCCGCTGCCAGGCCTTGTCCGCACGTGTGAGGCCCTGGGCAGACACCGGCTGCCATCCCACTGCTTCCCCCCGGGGTCGGGGCACCCCGAGGAGAGGAGTGACGAGACCTACGTGTGGAGGACCTGCAGTGGGCGCACCGAGGTTGGGGACAGAGGCGTCCTTTACAGAACACATGTCCACACAGACACCACAGGTTCCCTGCACTCGGACCCCAGATTCTAAGGCAGGTCAAACACTAGAACGCACGCGATGACGGGCAGCCGGCTGGGCTCAGGCTTGGAGGCGCGCGCCCGGCCAGCCTCCGCTCTGGACACCCCGCGGGTCCCTGCAGAGCTCAGGAGGCGCCACGGCCTTCCTGCAGGGAGAGCAGGGTGGAGAAGCAGTCTGTCCTGCCCGCCCGCCAGGAGTCCGTGAGAACCAGAGAAGCAATAAGGGGGAAGTGGGGGGTACACGCCACAGTCTGGTGCCACCTCGGGGCCTGAGCCAGCAGAGCTCGGAGTCCTCACTGCACCACGGCCCCGTCACAGCCCCAGCCCGCAGTCTGGGGACTGCCACAGCCTCCAGAGGCAGGAAAGGAAGCGACGCACGACCTGGCCGCTGTTCACAGGAGGAAACGCCAGGCGGAGCTCCAAAGCACCAGGCTCAGGGAGCCGACACGGAGGCCCCGCGCCTGGGCCCACTGCGCTCCAGGCCCTGCGCCGCCCGCCGAGCAGCCCAGCAGAGCTGCGAGTGCTGTGCAGGGCCCCACGCCTGGCTCCTCCAGTCTCCGGGGGGCCCAGGCAGGGCGCGGGCCTGAGGAAGAGACTCAGGATGGCGTCTTGGGGGGACACGCGAGGTGCCCAGGTGTGTGATTGCTTCCCCCCCAGCACGGCCTCTCCTTCGATCAGGGAGGGGGCACCGCAGGGACACCTGCGCTCCAGGATGGGCCCGGCCCCTTCCTCCCGGAGCCACCAGACCCAGCAAGGCTCCAGGGACACGGCAGCTCCTCTGGGGAGACACAGGGGCAGTGCTCTTTCACCCCAGGGCGCAGCTGGGGGTCGGGACACGCCAACACCCACATGCAGCCGGCCTGTCCCTGGCTGACACTCTCAGGGGGACACCAGGAGACTGGCCCAGGCCCAGCCACGCCCCCAGCCTGGGCGGCATGTCTACAGCAGGGCAGTCACCACGCCCCCCCATCCCAGCCTCCCCAGGTCTGCAGGCAGGCCAGGCTACAGGGTCACGTGGACCAGCCTCTTCGACAGCTGGGCTGGGCTGCACCTGCCCCAGAAGCCAGGTCCCGGGGACTCTTCGCAGTGCGGCCACAGGCCGGGCCTCTGGTGGGCAGTGCCAGCCAGGAAAGGTCCAAGTGCCCCACCTGACACACTGCAGCCAAGCCACCAGGACCCTGGACGTCCCAAGAAGCAGACCGGGCAGGGCGGTCTTCCCAGCAGTCGCAGGGAAGTCCCAAAGGGAAGGGGGAGGGGACCCACAGCCCAGGGCCCCAGGCCCTCCGAGGACAGACGCTAGTTTAGACAGCGGCAGCGTGACCTTGCGCCGGTCACTTCCCTCTCGGAGCCATTTCCTCAGGCGCAAAGGGCACGAGGGCGGCCTGGACGGGCCTGGCTTCGCCATGTGCTGAAGCAGCCGTGTGGCTCAGTCCCCAGCATGTGGCGGGGGCAGGGCCAACACCCACCACACTCGTCACCACCCTCCAGATCCAGGCAAGCCCCCGCTCGCCCCCAGGACTTCGCCCAGCCGCACCCCCTGCCGCCCTGCCACAGGCAGCTGCTGCGTCGAGGCTGCACAGGCCGGGGCCTTGCCAGGGCCGTAGGGGAGGCTGAACGGACCGTCTGGACTCACGAGGAGGAGCGCGGGCCCCGGGACGCGGGTCGTACGCAGGCCTCAGAAACCCCCCGCCACTGCCCTGCGCCACGCCCGCGGTCGGCCGGCCTCCTAGGCTCTCTCTCAGGCCTGCAGTGCACGGGCTCCTTATACTGTGCGACCCCCGTGCCACAGCCCTTCCCTCGAGAGGAAGGCTTGGCACTCAGCCCCCAGACGCGCGGGCGCCGCTCAGCCCAGCTGGCGGTCCCCCTCGCCAGGCCCAGCGGGGCCTCGCCCCCCAGGCTCTGCCCAAGGCACCCGCCAACCCCCCCCCCCCCCACGCGGCCTGGGAGGGACAGTGCAGCACGCGAGGCACACAGTTGCTGCGAGGAAAGGGCTGGGCTGGGCCGGCGGCTCCTGATGCCCCGCCGCCCTGAAAGCCAGGGCTCGGGGGACCTGCCACCCCCGCAGTCAGGCTCTTCACACCGAACCCACGTGCTGCCGGGGTCACAAGCTCATTCACATGACAAACTGCTGCAGAAAACCCAACTCCTCATCTAGCCGGAGTCCAGAAACCGCTCTCTGCCCTGGCTTTGGACACCGAGGCAGGTGCACCTCCGAAGCGCCACCTCTCACCTGAGAGCACGAGCCGGCTGCAGCCCGAGAGCAGCCCGGCAGCCGAGGAGGAGGGCCCAGGCCACGCGGGAGGGCGCGCTCACCGGGACTCACTGGGGGCAGCGCCTGCAGCCCCAGGCCTGCGCCCCGGCCACAGGCGCCTGGCAGGGAGGGCGCCAGCCCTGCGTCCTGGGCCCCTTGCTAACGTGGCTGCCCATCAGGCAACAGGCCCCTTGGGTTGAGCTGAGTTCTGACAGGGACAGGAGGCCTTCGAGGTGGGAGGTACAGCAGGACGCACCCGACTGTCACCCAGGACAGACCGTGGCACGTGCCCCAGCCTCCCTGAGCAGGGAGCAGACGGACAGTCGCGGAAGGGCCGCTGCCCAGCAGTGCCCGCGCGGATAAGCAGGAGGGGCGCCCGGCGGACAGGCTGCAGAGCAACGGGCTGGGGGGGCCGCCCAGGTCTGAGGCCAGGAGCTGGAGGCACAGTGGTCCGAGGGCCCGCTGGGGCCACGTCCCAGAAGCTCCTTCTCCCCAGTGAGGGTCTCAGGGAGCTCCTCCAGCTGAGAGCCAGGGAGGAGGGGAGAGCTATGTGGCCCCGAGGCTCAGGGCCTCAGCTACCTCAGCAGGACCGGCAGAGGCCGAGCGGGGCCTGGGGGGGGCGGGCCCAGGGATCTGGCCTCGCCTGCCGTGCACCAGGCATCTCTGGGGCCGTCTGTCCCTGAGAAGACACTCCCCCAGCAGAGGGTCCCATGGCTGTGGCCAGGCGGCTGCAGCCACAGCAGGCGCCGTCACCCGTCCCCATGTGGAGCCCCCGCAGCCCGGCTGCCTCCCGCCCCGGGTCCCTGCCCGGACTCTGGGAAGTGGCCGCATACCTTGTCAGGCCCGCTGCCAAGGACACACCTAACACCCACTCGATGAGAGCATCAAAGCCAGCACCTGCTGTACCTGCTCTGGCCTCGACCCGACCCCTTGCGGGCGGCGGTGCAAGGCCTTCTGTGGGCCTCTCCGCCGCTGTGGCCTGAGTGGCCTGAGGCCCGGGCATGAGGCGGGATGTGCCAGGGGAGCCCGGTGGGGCCGAAGGCTCAAGCTTGGGAGCAGGAGGACTGCCCCACGCAACCGGCCCACGTCTGCTCTGGCCGCCACCGAGGCTCCCCTGGTGCAGTGGGGGCGGGCTCTGGTGGCCAGAGAGCCAGCTCCCAGCCACCTTGATGCCCATGGAGGAGTCCCCAGAGCCCAGCCCCAGGCCCACCCCACGGGGACGCCATCAGAGACAGCCCTCAGGGGCACAGCCTGGCTGCTGCCTGCCCAAGCCATGCGCCTGAATGGGGCCAGGCAAATTTTGCCCAAACTCGCCCGCTGCCAATGGCCAGTCAACACAGCTCGCCAGCGGAGGCCAGCGGAGGGGAGGGGCTGAGCCCAGACACACAGATGGTGGCCAGCAATGGCTCTGGACCAGCAATGGCTCTGGACCTAGTGTTTCAAAGCAGCATGTGGAACCCAGATCCCCGCCCAGAGCAAATCCACTACTGGTGCTGACCAGGCCCGTGCGGCCTCCCACCCTCAACAGCCCCATCCAGGCCCACTGTGGGGGTGAAATGGGACCCTGCACACGGCAGCAAGCCACCAAGAAGCCTTCCCTTCTTCCCCCACCCCCCTCTCAGGTCCCTCCCACCCCAGCTCCACGCCCACCCCCACCCCCACCCCCGCAGAGCAGGGCTCCCTCAGCCTCTCCAGGCCAAGGGCTCTCCCGCTGACCCGACACGCTGGGGCTTTCTCCAGGCCTCTAGAGGTGAACAGGAACCATCCTGACCAGGCCCAAGTGTCACTGGGAAGAATGGGGCTTGCCTGGGGTCCAGCGCTAGAGCCAGAGCTCAGCACCCGCGGGCTCGCCTTGCTCTGTGAGCCTGTCCCCAGGGCAGCCGCAGGCAGAGCCCACTAGACTGTGGCCGGTGCTGCCCAGCCCCTTCACTCTCCATCACAGCCGCTTAGCACCCAGCACTGGGACGGCCGGTCTGAAGCAGCCAGGCTCTCAGGCCTGGTCTGCAGCAGCTCCTTCTGCGCTAAGTGGGCCAGGAGCCGGCACCCTGTGGCCTGTCATCATGCTGGGTCCAGCCCCAACCCACTCACTGGGCAGGGGTGAGCAAACCCCCAAATCCCCTCGAAGGTCCCCACCATTGGCTTGGCTTCCTGGGCTCTCACTCAAGGCCCAAGGAAGTTCTGCCACCTGGGAGGGTCAAAAGGTGCTGGCAAGGGACAGGGCCTGAGAGAGGACAAGCCCCGAGGGGCACCCCCAAGGCCGAGGGGCAGGGAGACGGGCTCCCCAGCTGGCGCCAGCCGGAGGTCTGCAGCCCTGCCGGCCCGGCCTCTGGCCAGGAGCTTCCCCGAGTCCAGGTGGCGGGCGGAGAGTGGGACCCGCCTCCTCCCCAGGGCCTTTTCTTTCCGCCACCGGCCCGCCAGGGGCTTCCCGAGCACCTCACAGCACAGCAGAGGGGATTCGGAGATCCGGGCACTGGGGACATGGCAACCCGGACCAGCCCCGCGGGGCTCTCCCCACGGCCCCGTCGTGGGAGCAGCACAGGGACAAGGCCCTGTCAGCCACGCCAGCTCCCGGGTGCAAAAGAAAGCGACAAGTAACCTGTTCCACTCCTCAAAGGGACTCTGAGGGCTGAGGTGGAGAGAGACACGCAGACAAAGGAGGAGGCAGGACACTGCACACTAACTCCGGGGCCAGGGTGTGGTCGCGGCTGCCCCGCGGTGCCCGGTTAACACCCCTCGGGCCCAGGACCCTTGAGAACGGCGGTGAACTGCTTTTGGACTCTGACAACGGCCACCGTGAAAGGCGGGTGCACAGACCTCCTGGGGCGCCCGTGGCCTAGGACGCCGCGCCGGGGAGCCTCCCTGGGGCACAGCGCGTCCGGAAGGCGCAGTGTCAGGTCGGGGAGGGAACCCAGGCTCTGGGGCTGATGCAGGTGGTTCATCCAGACCGGGAAGGAGGGGAAGGTGGGGGGAGGGAGGAGGGGCGATCCTCTCCCTTCTCTCTGCTCCTCTCGAAAGAAAGGGGCCAAGCGGTCCTTCCACTGGGGGGGGGGGGGGGCAGAGGGGGGCCCGGGGGCCCGGGGTGGCAGCTCAGAGAGCAGAGCAGCTCTTGAGGGCAGAGGCCGCTCAGGAATGCGGGGAGCGAGCCCCGGCGAGGGGGAGGGGCGTGGGCATCTGTCACCAGCTATCTCCGGTGTCAGCCCGGGAGGGTGGGCCGGGCAGTGCGGAGGGGTCGGCGCGCGGAGCCGAAAGAGGCAGCTCCTAAGCAGGAGACAGGGGATTCGGTCGGGAAGTGAGCGGAGCCGGAACAAGGCAGAAAAGGGTTCGGAGCGGGAGATAAAATCCTGAGAGGAGGAGAATGAGGAGCTTCCGAAGAGGCGTCGGAGTCCCGACCGCTGGGCCCCGGGGCTCGGGCCTGGCCTCGGAGGAGACGCGGTGCCCGGGGCGCCGGCCGGCCGGGCCGGGCCGGGGTCGGGCCGGCGGCCCTACCTGGTACACGGAGGCCTTGGGCAGGTCCAGGCAGACGGTGCAGCACAGAACCGAGTAGAGCCGCTCCTCCAGCTTCCCGCTGCCCGCCGCCGCCGCCTCGGTTGCCTCGGCCGCCCGCAGCCGCTTCTTGGGCGGTGCGTCAGGGTCGCCGGCTGCCTCCTGTAGCTGCCGGGCGCCGGCCAGGCCCGCCTCGTCCGGGAGCCCGGGCCCTGCCGCCTCGCCCAGCGCCGCCGCCGCCGGTCCCGCGGCCGCCCCGGGCCCGGCCCCGGCCGGCACGGCGCCGGCAGACCCCGTAGCCGGACCGCCACCGCCGGCCTCCTCTGCGCCGGACATCGCTGCCGGCCGGCCCGGCGGGCGGGTGCGGGCGCGCTCCCGCGGCTAGAGGTTAGAGGCGCCGCGCGCTGCCGCCGCCCTCTCGCCGCCGCCGCGACCCCTCAGCCCAGCTCCCCGCGTCGTCTCCTCAGGGAGTCTGGCCCGCGCGCCGTCCCGCAGCAGCCGCGGCCACCGACCCCAGGGCGGCCGCCATCTTTGTTTTTGCTGCGCTCTCCCCCACCCCCACCACCCCCCTGGGTCTCTCAGATCACGTGACACTCTCGAGCCAATGGGAGCCCCGCTTGGGGCTAGACGGTGCGGCGGCCAGAGCCAATCGACTCGTAAGAGCCCGCCCCTGCAGAAGGTGGGCAGGCAGGGGGCGGGGCTCGGGGCGGCCCGCGAAGGGCGCACCTGGAGGCGCCGGGAACCGGTGCCGAGCTTCCGGTGGGTCCACGGCGCGGGCTCTCGGGGACGCGGAGGATAACCAGGGACCCTCCCGTTGGGGTGTGCCCGAGTCTTTGTCTCAACACTCGAGCTTGCGTGCACAGGGCTCTGGTCTGGCTCACAGGAGCGACAAATCCGGCGGCCACCCCTCTCCTCCTGTGTGGAACCAACTGTGCTTACACAGTACGCAAGCGCAAGCGCAAGGGCTCCCCGAGGGAGCACCCGGGGCCCCGACTCTCACTCACTGTTCTGCCCAATCTGGTTTCCTCACCCTGGGCCAGGTAGCTGCAAAGGGGTGCACCGAGGAAAGTGAATGTCTTAGAAAATCAGGACTAACAGGCAGAGGTCGAGTCAGCCATGGGAGGGGATGTGTTTCTGGGGACAGCTGTGGTACGGGCCTGCCTTGTCCCCACGCCAGCCAGCAGCCCATGAAGGTCACTGCTCCAGAGGGCCACCTGCTAGACTTTGTAAGTGTGTCAGAGCTCCACCATGTCCCAGGAGAGCAAGCTCCCAGGATTATGTCTTTTTAGTCCAGGGGCCAGCAGGAGACGGGCCGGGCGAGGCCCCAGATTGCTGCCAGCACATTCCTTTCTTTCGCTTGGGGGATCCAGTGGCTGACCTGGGAACCTTAGAAAGCTCAATCCCTCTCAAGAATGGGCAGATTTCACATTCGTGCTAAATCCCTAAGGTTTATTGGAGACCAAGCCTCTGTCTGTATCCATAGCCATGGCCTGTCCAGAATCAGGCCTCAAAATGTGCCTGGACTCCCCCACCTTCATTCTGGTCTGGGCAGGTCCCCACACTCCACCAGAGGAAAGACAGCGCCCAGACTCTGCCCCTGACCAGTCCCGGCAAGCCCACTTTGGGAGAAAGGAGAGTCTGTCTCTAGGGAAGGAGGCTCCAGGAAGGGAGGTGGTAACCCGGTCACCTGCCTTGCGATCTCCCGACATCACTCCCACTGCAGGCGCTGTGTGTGCAGGGCCCGATGGTAGGCCCAGCTTCCTGCAGCCAGGCCCCAGCGACAGACGTCCTCCTTTGGCAGCAACAGCAGCCTGTCCCCCTCTAGCCGGCTCAGCAGGCCTGCAGCACCCAGCATCAAGCCCCCCCACATTCCGTAAGTGTTGGTGGTGAAGACGGCCACAATGAGAATGGTTACTGCCACCACAAGCACCACCGCCTGAGCAGCCACGGAACGGCCCTCCGTGCCAAGGTGGTCACCAGCCACTGCCAGCACCATGCCTCCTCCCAGGAGCAGGTTTGCAGAGGAGCGGTCCCCATTCACCCAGTGGAAATCGAAGGCGAGAAGGGGCAGGCCAATGACAGTGGCCACCCAGGCTCCAGTAACACAGTCTTCATCTGTGCCCAGCCCTGATGCCAGCATTTTGGCAGCCGCCAAGGCCTGGAGCAGGAAGCCAGCAGCAGCCCCTCGATTTGCCTGTCAACACAGGAAGGAGAGACGTGGGGAAGAGACCAGGACCTTACTCTAAACAGAGAAAGGTTTAGGGGTCTCATGGAAGCCTGGTCCCTAGGCTCACCTCCCACCACCCTCCCGGATCCAAGGAGCTGGGCAGGTCCTTGGGGTGCGGGGATGGGATCCTCCTCTGCCAGACCCTTTGTACTCACCGGGGCAGTGCTCAAGGCTGCACGCAGGGACACCGCTCCCAGTGCCAGGTGAGACAGGGCCGTGCTCCACTCAACCCACGGCTTGGGTGGCATGGCACCTCGGGCGGTGGTGAGTTTGAGGAGACAGGAAGGGGCTCCTCAGTTTTGGAGAAGACGAAGGAACGCAGAAGCTGGCGACCGGGAGCCCTAAGGGTGACTCTCCAGGACTCCCAGTTTCCAGAGCCCCATTTCTAAATGTTGGGATAGGCTCATCAGAAGCTTTCTGGAGCTCTGAAGTCACTGGACACAACTGTGGGGGAGAAGAACTTATTTTGGCCGGGGAAAGAAAAGAGAAAACCGAGGCGGGCCTGTCGTAGGCGGGAGTCGGCCGTGGAACCCAAGCCGGGGCGCCGGGCCTCGGGAACAGCGGTGCGGGACGCGCGCAGGCCACTCGGCCTGGTCCCTGCGCTCGGGGAGGCGGCGTTTACGGAGCCCAACCCGGGAGGGGCGACAGCACTGGCGCTCTAGGACGGCCCCAACGCAGCGGGAAGCAGGAGGCCGGAACCTGTCCGCCGCGCCGCCCGTCCGTGGCCGCCCCTCGCTTCCCGCGTCTGGCCTGTGGAGGTCCGAACCAACGAGTGGAGGGGAGGCTAGAGCGGCGGGGGGGGTGGGGCGAAGGGGGTCGAGCCAATGAGTAGAGAGGAGGGCGGGGCTGGAAGGAGGGCTGTACGAAGTTAGGGTTTTATTACTCAGTGGTTTGGAGGGACCTGAGGTGAGGGGAGGGGCCTGAGGAGGGGCTGCGGGTGGGGAAGAGTCTGAAGGAGGAGTTGTGAGAGGAGGAGCGCCCGGCAAGGGGGCGGGCCGCGGCTGGAAATGACGGGTGCGGCTGGGAGGGGAGGGGCGGGGCGGAATTGTCGGGGGCAGGTTTCTGGGAGGGGCTGTGCGAGGAGGGAGAGGGCGGTACGAGGATGTGATGGGTGGGGCTGAAAGAGAAAGGGGGCGGGGCTGGACAGGGACGGGAGGTAGGATCCCCGTGGGCTGATGGCTCAAAGGGGCGAGAGCAGAGGGGGCCGGCGTGGAGATCTGGCAAGGATTCCGTGAAAAGGAGGTGCGGGGTCGTAGGGGGATCTCAGCCTGGGGTCTCTGCCAAGTAGGAGTGGGGGCGCAGGGCAGGTGTCTTGGTGTGGGCCCGGGGACACCTGTCTCCGCAACTCCTCCGGCGCGCGCCCTCCACCCGCGGGAGCCGAACCGTGGGGGCGGCCGCCTCGAGCATGCGCACCGGCTCTGCTGCGGGCGGGCGAGCGGGCGCGGAGTCCGGGCGCGGGGACGCGGGGCGGCGCGAAGCCGGGCCCTCTGCCGCCCCGCGCTCCCATGTACGCCTTCTACTCGCTGCTTATCTACATCTTCTACAGCCTCTTCCGCAGGGATGGCGGCGCCGCGGCGACCGCCGACCCTAGGGACCCCACCCAGGTGAGCGGGGGCGGGCTGTAGAGGCCCGCGCAGCACAGGTCTCCAGAGCTGGCGCTGCGGAGAAGGCTGAGCCGAGCACCCCTGTCTCTGCTCTGGTGTTGCCAGCAGAGACCTCCGCCCCAGAAGGAGGCTGCCCGGCCTCTTCTCGGGCGCTTCCCGTGCTCCCTTCCTAGAGTGCCCGCTGCAAGCCCGAGGGTAGCCGCCGCCCCGACCAGCCCCCTGCAGAACTCTGGACCGAGCTGACCGGCCTGGTCGGTAAGTGCCGTCGTTCTTCCGGAACGCTGCGTCCTCGGGGCCATAAGAACCCCGCCGTCCGCGAGAGGGGGAGGTGTCCGTGACCTCATTGGGAGGGAGACCCGACAAGTGCCATCGGGCGGCCTAACCTCCAGCATGTGACCCAGCACACCTTCCCCTCCCATGTCTGGCCTCGCAGGCAGCTCGCAGGCAGAAGATGGGCCGGGAGGGGGAGCCGAGGGCCGCCCAGCCGAGGTGTCCCTGGAGGAGGCTCTCGTGCGTCTTGCCGAGTTCCTCTCAGTCCAGCTGGGGGCGGAAGAGAGCCGCGGCTATTCTCCCGATGTGAGCAAGGTGAGCCGGACTGATAGGGGAGCGGGCCGAGGGTCTTTCTCCAGCACTGCTTTCTTTCTCCCCAGTCCTGACCGACAGGCCCCTGGCCCCCTCTCAGTCTCCTGCACTGATTCTTCTCTCCTTCACAGCCTGGCGATGTACCGCCACTGTTGACTGTGACTGGTCAGCTCTTGGCCCTCCTGGCATGGATCCGGAGCCCCAGGGGGAGGCAGGCCCTGTCCCAGGGAGCTCAGCCAGCCTCGGGGGTGCAGCCCCCGACTCCAGCTGGTGCGTGAGTAGCAAGTTAAAGTGTGTGTGTGGGCAGCGAAGCCCACTGGAACCTGAGTGCCCTGGAGTGCAGGGCCCCAAGCCCTGCTCCCAAGGTGCCTCCCCTTCAGGGCAGGGACTTCAGTCAGTCCTAACCGGGTACCACCATCCCAGGGCCCACATCCCCAGAAGAAAGCCCTTCCCTTTCACTGAGGGGTGAGGCCCAGGGGCAGCAGGCCCCACAGTTGGAGGAGGATCAGAGGGCTTGGCAGCGGCTGGAACAGCTCATCCTCGGACAGGTGAGGGGCCTGGGACGTGGCGGGCACTGGGGAGGCTGGAAGGAGGTGCGCCATTCTGTCCCGCTTCCTCCTTCCCAGCTGGAGGAGCTGAAGCAGCAGCTGGACCTGCAGGATGGGCTGGGCCAACTGCACCTGGGAACGGTGAGCTGCTGGGCTGGGCCCCGGCTGGGGACTGGAGCCGGGCCAGGGCCTTCCGGCGAGTCCGAAGGGCTTCCTCTTCTCCAGGGGGCGACAGATTCTGAGAAGAGGGTTCAGCATCTAACCCTGGAGAATGAGGCCCTGAAACAGAGCCTGATCCTCACTCGCCACCTCCTGAGACACTGGGGTCCTGGCTCCCATCCCAGGGCTCCCCAGGTACTCTCTTCCTTAGCTGCTGCTGTCCCTGCAGGCTGGCCCTCCTGCATGCCTGGTCTCCCTCAGGACCTGGTCCTCTGGAACAGAGGTGGGGGGCTCTCTGATTTCCCAGGACTAGGACTGTGGGCGGGCCTAGCGCCATCGAGGAGCCCGATGCCCATGGGAGAACCACCCCCTCACAGCCCCCCACCCCGTGGCTCCTCGTGGTGACTGGCCCCAGGCGGGCAAGGGACTTGGGGGAAAGCCCTGCATGGACTCATGACCGGCTCTGCTTGGCCCTTGCGACCTGGCTTCCCCTCACGTGGAACGGGGCTGCTCAAATGCCCACCCCCCAGCTTCCTCCTGGCTCCACAGCTCACATGGCTCCCACCCCTCCTCCAGGAGGAGGCAGAGGCCCTGGTGGAGCTCCAGGGCCAGCTTCAGGAGGCCCAGGACGCCACGGAAGCTCTCCGAGTCCAGGTGGGTGCTGGGTTCAGGGGCTGGGAAGTCTGAGGCACTGGGAAAGGGGTGCCTGAGGCAGGGCCTGGTAAGTGCCTATTTCCTCAGTGACGGGGTGGGGTGGGGCAGCTGGGGGTCCAGGAGGTGCAGCTACAGGGCCTTCAGGGGGCCCTCCGGCAGCTCCAGCAGGAGGCGGAGCGGAGCTGCAGAAGGGAGCTGCAGCAGGTGCACGGGCAGCTGGCAGGTAAGGCCTGGGGCAGCGGGCTCGTGGGAAGCCCACGGGGTCCAGGCCTTCTCTCACAAGCACCTTTCCCGCCAGGACTTCGGGCACGCACGGCCAGCCTCCGTCAGGGCTGTGGGGACCTCCGAGGCCTGGTCAGCACCTTCACCCAGAGCTGCCAGGGTTCACTGAGCGAGGCCCGGGGCCAGGTCAGGACCACTGGCTCCCTCTCCAGTGTGCGCTCTCTGGGCAGCCTGGGCACCGTTCCTCCCTTGGGGAACCCCTTTCTCCCTTCCCGCCCCCAGGGAGCCGCCCGCTCTAACGGGGGTGATGGGCTCTGGAACCAGGACGGCTGCCGTGACCCCAGGGTGTGACCTCGCTTCTGGGCCTTTTTTTTTGTCCTGTGCACATGGGGGTGAGAGTGAACCCCGGACAGGATTGTCAAGAAGCCCAGAGGGGACAGGTGATGTCCTTGCCCAGTGGTCCTCCTGATTCCTGGGTTCCAACCCCGGGCCCACTGCGTGAAACCCCCAGGGGCCCGAGGCCCGCGAAAGCCGTGGATTACCACAGCGGGTGGCCACACGGTGGCTCCATGTTGCCCTTAGCACCCCACCCCAGCTACGTGGTTGCCCCCGCTGGCTGGCTTGCTCACATTCCTGTTTCTCCAGGTATCCTGGGCCCTGGGGGCACTGTCAGCCAGTGGCGCTGGGACTCGGCCCCCTGAGGAGCAGCCGGGGCCCCCAACTGGATGCCCAGGGCGGCTACTGGAGCTCAAGGGTATGGCCGCGCGGGCAGCGGAGGAGGGGCCGCAGACTGCCACTGGAGCCTCTCCGTGCTTCGGGACTTGGGGGGCAGCCCAGTGACCTGATCTTCACCCCAGGAAATATCCGTGTGCTGTGTCGTCTGAGACCAGGGACGCCCTCCAGCCCGGTGAGCTCAGAGCCCGGCCCGGGCGGCACGGTCACCACCTGCTATCGAGGGCACCAGCGTCGATTCCGCCTGGACTGGGTCTTCCCTCCCGACGCGAGCCAGGAGGAGGTGAAGCTCCCCTCTTAGACCCCCAGAGGCTCTGGCTCCCCTGCCCTTTCCTGCCCTCCCAGGAGCAAGAGTGGCCAGGTTGCAGCAGGGGAGGAGAGGGGAGGCAGGACAGGCAGCCGAGCTGGGCACCTCTGTTCCTTCCAAGACTTTCCCTGGTCCCCCACCCCAAGCTCTGCAGGCTCAGGGGAAACATCTGGTTTAGACAGGAAGGTTAACATTTCCAAAGTAACTTTTTACTGGGAAACGAAGGAAAGTGAACCCGTGTGAGGTGGCGGGCACCACTCCCCCAGCGCTGGCTGGGGGGCACCGCTGGGGCAGCCGCCGTGGGTCAGTGGGTGCTGGGACGCCCCCAGGCCTCCCTGCCGCCCACTCCGCGGGCAGGGTCAGAGCCCCCCACCGTGAGGACAGGCACCCCTCCTTGCTTTGTGGCCACGGGTGCAGAGAGGGGCCCTGGCGGGCAGGCCGGCCCACAGCCTCCGCCTCCGCCCGCGCTGCCCTCCTTTCCTGCCAAATGCGGCAGAGAAGCAGAGGCCTCCCGGCCCAGCACCACCAGGCTTCTCACGCGCCATCTGTTGCTCACAGGTTTTGCTGCTAGAGCTTCCATGGGTTGGGAAATGGAGGCAGACCCGGGAGGGGGTTAGGCCAGGGGCAGAGCTCAGACCTCTGTTGTCCTCAGAGGGTGGCCAGGTCCCCCCCCCCGACTTCCTGGGGTGCCACTGCCCAGGCCTCAGCTCCCCCTAAACTGCGGCCCCGCGCGGGCCCCTGGCAGCAGACGGCCCCCCGACAGAACCCAGCGCAAGGACAGGAGGCGCCTGCCACTGTCGGCCTGTCCGCAGCGGCACCACGGCCACCCCAGTGCTTCCTTCAGTCACAGGACCTCAGTGACCCCACTGCGGCTCTGGAGTCTGCCCTCTTGGCCGGCAGCCAACACTTCCCGCAGAACTGCCGGCTGGGCCGCGACCAGCCCTCTGCGCCCGGGAGCTGCTGGTGGGGGCGTTGCCAGCGGCACACAGGCCCCAGACCCCGCCTCCCTGGGCCCAGGTCCAGCGGTCCTGGTGGGCCACCGTCCTCCACACCCTGCCCACGGGGCCTTTCTGGAGTCCCCCTTTGTGTGGCAAAACACCCCTGCAGCACCTGGGCACGTGTGCCCCTTAACCCACACAACAGGTGCCCCTGCAGCGCCCACTGCCTGTGAGGGGAAAGCTCGGCACCTCCACACCTGGGACTTGAGCCTGGCGGTGAGCCTAGCGTGGGGGCTCTTCCCTGCTCCTCCCAAGTGGGCGCCAGGACTGCTCCCCTTTCCTGTCCTGGCCTTCCCTTTGCTTGGCAAATTCTTGCAAATGACAACTCCAGGGGGCTTCCTCTGCCTGCCAGGAGACCCTCCCTTCCAGGGGACTGCCCCCAGAGACCCCCGCCCCGGGGGCAATCAGGCTTTACTCACCGTGCCCCCGGCCCGGGGCTCAGGACTCCCCCTCCCCCGCCAGGTCTTCAGGGAGCTGGAGCCCACTGTGCTGTCCTGCCTCCGCGGCTACAGTGTCTGCATTTTTACCTACGGTCAGACAGGGACCGGGAAGACCTACAGCATGGAGGTGGGAAGGGGCGAGGGGAACCCTGGGTGGCTCCTGGGGCCAAGGGCTAGGATGTGAGCCCAATGTGGCGCCCCACCGCGTCTCCAGGGCCCCCCTGAGGACCCCGGCATAGCGCCCAGGGCGCTGCAGTCGCTGTTCCGGGAGATGAGGACCGGAGCGCAGCACTGCGTGACCCTCAGCATGGTGGAGATCTACAACGAGGCCGTCAGGTCAGGGCTGCGCCCTGCCTGTGCCCCCCCCCCCCCCCCCCCCCCCCGCCAGCCAAGGACCCCTGAACCAAGCCCTCACCTTTCTCACCAGGGACCTTCTAGCCCCAGGGCCTCCCGAGCGCTTGGTCGTGAGGCAGGGCCCAGCAGGCCAGGGGGGACTCCAAGTGGCTGGCCTCACGTACTGGGACGTGCCCAACCTAGAGACGCTGAACCAGGTAAGGCTGCCCAGGGGGCGCGCGGCGCTCCAAGGCCCTGCCCTGTGCTCGCCGCGGGAGGTGCGGTCCTCACAGCAGGCCAAGCGTCGTCCTGCGTCCTCCAGATGCTGAGCCTGGGGAGGAGCAACCGGGCCACGGCCGCCACCGCCATGAACCAGCACAGCTCCCGCTCGCACGCCCTGGTGACGCTGACGCTGCGAGCAACGCCCCCAACGCGCGGTTCAGGCGCCGCAGGTACCCCGCCGGCCGGCGCCCTGCCCTGCGAGGGGCCTCACCGCACGGGAAACTGGAGCTCCCTCCACGTAGGCTCGCTCGCCCCTGCAGGCACGCTGCACCTGGTGGACCTGGCGGGATCCGAGCGGGCCTGGAAGGCGGGGGCCGCCTGCAGGGCGCGGGGAGACCCTGCGGACGCCCAGCGCCTGCGCGAGGCCCGGACCATCAACCGCTCGCTGCTGGCGCTGGGAGGCGTGATGGCCGCGCTGCGGGCCCGCCGGCCGCACGTGCCCTTCCGCGATTCGCAGCTCACGCGCCTGCTCCAGCCGGCGCTCGGCTCCGGCGCCACCGTGGTCCTGCTGCTGCAGGTGGGCGCCCGGCGCCGGCGCGGGGCGGGCGCGGGGCCGGGGAGGGCGGGCCGCACGCAGGCACCGCCCACTCGGGGCTGCTCACGGCGCTGCTCCCCGCAGATCTCCACGCGGCCCGAGGACCTCGGCGAGACCGTGTGCTCGCTCAAGTTCGCTGAGCGAGTGGGCCAAGTGGAGCTGGGCCCGGCTCGGCGCCGCCGGGCTCCGCGCTCGGGGACGCCCTCCTCCCTCAGTACCGACACGCCGCTCACTGGGACTCCCTGCACCCCGACGCCGTCCCCGGGCAGCCCTCCGAGCCCCAGCCCCGACCGCGGCTCCTAGTCTGGCCCAAGCCGTCTGGGGGTGCGCCTCTGCCGGCAGAGGCGGCAAAGCCCCTGCCCCCCACTCCCTTGACCTCTGGGGGCTCATGGGCCCCCAAACTCCCAGAGCTGCCCCCTCAGCCCCTCCTGGCGAGTGTTGCGCGTGGGGGCCCGAGGGGGGAGAGGTGCCCGCCCCCCTGCCCCCACCCCCGGCTGGCAGCTCTCTCCTTATCACCATTTGCTGCTATCGCCGCACACAGCAGGGGACCCCAGAGCGGCGCGGCGCGGCGCGGCCTGGCCTGGCCTGGCGGTTTCTGAGTCACTGCCCGCCACCAAAAATCAGACTTGGCGTTAAGATGTGGTCCATTCCTTTACTGTTACCTTCCCCGCTGCACCACCACACCCAGGCAGGGCCCTGCTCCCTCAGCACTTTCCCGAAAAAGGTGCTACCTCCTCCCGTGACAGTTGAGGGAGGGCAGGACTTCAGGCCGGAGCTGCCATTCCGTTCTCCCTCCCCCAACGCTGGAGCCAGGAGGGGGGAGGTGGCAGATGGTGACGGATCGACGGATGGATGGATGGACAGACAGAGAGCCAGAGGAGGTGGGACCAGGAAGGGGACAGGAAAGGCCACTCCTCGCAGCCTTGCTTCGGGGGTAGGAGAGGGCTGGCTGGCCCTCAGGGCCAGGGCGGTGCCTGAGTGGACACAAGGTAGTCCAATAAACGTCGTGGGCTCTCGGCGTGGCTGGCGCCTGGTGTTTCAAGGCCACTGGGGCCAATCTTCTGGGTCCCCTTGGCCGCGGTTCCCCTCAACATCCCCTCCACACGTCACCAGCAGCAGAGGGGAGAGGATGGCAGAGGAAAGCAGCGCCAGGCCGGGAGCCTCACAAGCTGTACCAAGACAGCAGCCAGCCTGGGGTGGGGGCCGCCAGCTCCCGGGGGTGGCTGACCCAGACGTCGTAGATGCTCTTGTTGGGTGGCACCCCCTGGAAGAGGGCGTCGAGATCCCAGAGCAGCCCTGGGGGGCCATGGGCCTCAGGTGCCACCCCCCAGTAGGCTGGGCTGGTTGAGGGGGGACACTGGGGGCAGGAGGTAGGTGGTAGGGGGGCCAGGGGCATCACCACATTGGGGGTATAGATGGGCAAGTAGGAGGTGGGTAGCTGCCCCCAAAGTGAGGCCCTGTGACCCCCACCAGACAGGCCCCCAGGGTCGGAGGTGCCCTGCAGTAGGTGGAGGGGCCAGCCTCTGGGCTCAGCGGAGAGCGGCGAGGGCCTGCTCGTTCTCCCCTGGGAAGTCTCCCCTTCTGCTCTCATGGCCCCGGGGAGGGGGCGGAGGGGCCACGGAGGCCTCTCAGACGGCAGGGGGGGCGTGGGCACCCCCTCCTCCTTACTTGGAAGGGAACCTGCCCGACCTGGGCTGCTCCGTGGCGCTCCCTCCCCGGGGTCCCCCAGCAGAGACTTTATGCTGAAGCCCTCACTGGGTGGCAGGTGGGGACTGGGTGGACTGGGCGGCTTGGGCGGTCGGTAGGGTCGGCCATGAAGCACGTAGGGGCCCAGGTCCTTGGCGAAGGCCCCCCGGACGCCCCTGCTCTGCCAGCGCCGGCACAGGGCTGTGTTCTGCAGCCGCAGTGCCTCTGCCGGAATCAGGCTCACGTCGACAGCCCAGAAGTTGCCCTTGGCCTTGGGCTTCGCAGGATCCTTGGGCACCTGGTGTGTATATAGATGGCAGGCTTGGTGGGGCTGCCCGACCCGGGACACTCAGGATTTCCGCCCCCCGCCCTGCCCCCGGCTCCAGCCGGGACCCTCGCACTCGCCCTGCCCCACCTTGCGGAAGCATCGGTTAGAGGAGAGGTTGTGGCGGATGGAGTCCTTCCAGCCCTCGTAGTCGTCCCTGAAGAAGGGGAACACTGCCTGGACCTGACGGATGATCTGAAACCGCGGGCAGCCGGCAGGCACTGTGAGCCGGGAGCGGGCGGGCAGCGGCGCCCCTCCCCCACAGCCGAGCCGAGGGGCGCCCGAGCCGCCCCAACACCTGTGCGCCCGCGGGAGGAGACGGCACCTCAAGGGAAGGTTCCTCCGAGCACCTCAGCTCTCTTCCCCAGTCCCCAGGCTGGGGCTGGCCCCACTGGCAGAGCAGGGTAGGGCCAGGTGGGGGTGGAGGCCGGAGCCTACACCGGGGAATAAGTAGGTGGGGGTCGGACCTGGGACCAAGTCGGACCTCGGAATGGGAGGGAGAGCGGGGACCCTCTCACCTGGGCCAGCTTCAGCCGGCGGGAAGGCGCGGCCTGGATCACCAGGGCAATCATGGCCAAGTAGGTGTAGGGGGGCTTGTCATGCCGCAGGTATCTCTTCTTCCTCCTCTTAGGGGGCTGGGAGGGCGACTCTGCCCCCCGGAGCCCCAGGCGTGGGTTGCTGCAGGGCCCCATGAAAGGGAGGTCGGCAACGTGGGCAGGGGCCTGGCCAGTTGGAGGGCCCCGGGCAGTGGGGCACTGTGGTGAGGCAGGGCCGGGGCCTGGGGCCGGGTGGGGGCAGGCAGGCCGGCCCTTTATCATTCGGATGGAAGGGGGAGGGGAGGGGAGGGGAGGGGAGGCAAAGGGAGGGTGGAATACAGCAGTGGGGGAGGGGAACAGGCCGAGGGCTGCCACAATTAGCAAGTTTCAGTTAATCTGGAAGGGAGGGGCAGGGAAGATTCCAGCAGGGGTTGCAGGCGGCCACCCAGGCCTCCTTTCCCAGCCCTGGACTGCCTCTGGCACCCCCTGCAAGCTGGGAGGAAAAGTCCCTGGAAGGGGCCCCTGGCCCACGGTTACTTTATCATCTGTCTGGGCTGGGTCTCAGGCTCCCATTTCACAGATGGGGAAGTGATTCGCCCTCACCAAGCTGCCAAGAAGGGGTGGGCCAGCCCAGAGTTCAAGGCCAAACCTCGGGAAACTGGAGGGACACAGCTGATTCAAAGGATTTTCCCTAGGGGCTGCTGCAGGACCTCGGTGGGCTCCCCAGAACCTTGGAGGCCAGTCTCCTCCCCTCGGGCTGCCTCATTATTTAACTGTGCGTCTCACTGGCCCTGAGCGCGTTGGACCTGACCAGCCACGGCCGGCTTGCCTTGCTCCTCCTGTCCTCTGGGCTCCGACCCTCTGGGGGCTGCCACTGGGGAGGATGCCTCTCATTCCTTGGGCGGCGCCCTTGGCTGGTGTGCCTAGGGGGAGAAGCCTCTGAGGCGTTGGGGTTTACTGGCCACTTCTCAGGACAGGCCCCAACGACACAGCTCCATGGGTCCTAGTCCCAGTCCAAGAGTCTTCGAGGACCGCCTGGCTTTACCCTGGGTGGGAGTGAGTATGGGCATGTTGTGTGGGGTGCCCAGGAAGGGCTTCCCAGGCAGCCACAAAGCCCTGCGGCTTTGTCTAGAACACTGATTTTCTATCTTTTCCATGTCAGGGCACACTTAAACTAATTACTAAAATTTTGCGACACACCAAAAAATATATTTAGCCAGGGGTCAGTGCCCCTGACTGAATAATCAGATATTGCATGTTTGAAAAATTCTTGCAGCGCACTGGCCGACAGCTGACGGTCTAGAAGGAGGGAGATGCTCTCCAGGCCGGTGGGGGCTGGCCCGAGTGGGGGCGGTGCACCCTCGGAGAGGCAGTGGGGGCTCAGGCTCGGGGAGCCTGAAGCAGCCCTAGCGAAGGCCTGGCCCCCTCTGAGGGCTTTGCAGGTACAGGACCTGACCCAAAGGTATGGTCCTAGCGAAATGCCTCTGCAGCTACCCAGAGACTCGCCAGTCCTAATGCCCAGACCCTCTCCTGTCCCCTTGGCTTGCCTTCCTTGGCTATAGGATCTCCTTCCTGCTCTTCCTCTCAAATGGGTCACTCTGCACCCGGCCTCGAAGCCCAGGTTTGCCCACGTTCACAGACCAGGCAAGTCTGTCCGAGGGGATATTACTGGCCGTGGGAGCTGGTGTTGGTACCAGGGTCCGCAGGCCCCAGAGAGGCCCCAGGAGCAGAGACACATTTTATATTAGTTTCCTCCAGGAACTCAGCTTTTCCTGTATAGTCCCTACCGTTATTTCCTTGAAGTGTTGAAACTCTGCAGCATACAGTGGGTGCCCGGCTCACGGTAAGGCCCCAAGGGAAGGGCTGGGTGGTGAGTGTTCTCGAGGAGGAAGCCCAGGCTGAGCTGGATGGCTTATGTGGGGCACCACACTGCCCCCACTGCCTCAGACCCCCGGCCTATGTCACGCCGCTTCCTCTGGACTCGTTGCTTTCTCAACTTCTTTCTATTTCCCGGGGTCTAGTTGACGGCTTCCTTGTGTCTCACCTGGCTGTTAGTATCTATAGACTCCCAGCCCCACTCTGTCGCAAATAAGCCTTTTCTCCTCTGCTTCTTTTCTTTTTTAATAAGATCTAATTAATTTATTTAGAAAGGGAGGAAGAGAGGAAGAGACATTAATGTGAGAAACATGAGTTGGTTGCCTCTCATCTGCCCCCAAACGGGACTCTGGCCCACACCCCAGGCTTCTGCCCTGATCAGGAAAGGAACCAGCCCTTTTGGTTTGGAGGACACGTCCAACCCACTGAGCCACAGCAGCCGGGGCTCCTCCCCGTTCTAAGTCTCGCGCTCTGTTCCAATAGTCCTCCCTGGCTCCCAGGATAAAGCCCAGCTTGTGTCCTGACCGGTCATCTCTCATCACGCTCCGCGCTCCTAAGCCATCATCCGACTGCTTCCCATGGCCCCAGCGCACTGGGTCCTTGCATCTCTGCACAGGGTGCCCCTTATTTGCGTGAAGTCTGCTTTGTCAGCTGAATCCCGGCCTTTCCTTAAAAGCCCAGCCTAGCCCTGGCCGCGTAGCTCGGTTGCTTAGAGCGTTGTCCCCATCGGTTGCGAGTTGGATCCCCCCAGGTTGATCCCGGTCAGGGCACAGACAAGAATCAACCAATGAATGTCTAAGCGTCTGGAGCAATAAGTCGATGTTTCTCTTTCCCTAAAATCAACAAATAAAAATCTCATCCTAAACAGATGACCACCCTCCTGGGAGCCTTTTGACTGCTTGCCCTTCCCGCCCCACCCTAGCACGTCCACTCCGAGGATGCCCTTGCCACAGAGGCTCCCGCGCCTCGGCTCCGCAGGGGTCCACCACGTGCTCCGGCAGGCCCCGCCCCCGCCGCTCGGCCTTGGCTCCGCCTCCGGCTCCCGCGGGGCGCCGCGGCTTCCGGCTCGGGCCTGCGCAAGCCGGAAGTGTAGTGTTGCCATGGCGAGGGCGCGGCGCCGGGCCCGCCCCTGCGGCGCCTGG